AGATCTCGTCGGACGCGATGATGCTCGCGATCGTTTTCCGGAAGGCGGTCTTCATGATCCCCTTGGCGTTGAAGTCGTCCGGGTCGAGGCCGTTCATGACGACGGCCGACGCGACCGCGACGATCGTGTCGTACTCCGTCGGCATGGGCGACGGCTTCGGGGACGGCTTGGCCGTCTCGCCGGGCGGCAGGTTGACCGGAGCCGTCGTCGGCCGCGGCGTCGGCGCCGGGATCGGCACGGCCGTCGGCGCCGCCGACGGGTCCGGCTGCTCCTTGTAGACGCAGTGGCCGTCGTAGGACATGCCGCTGATGTAGAGGCCGTCCGTGTAGGTCTTGGCCGCGAGGTATTCGGACCACGTGAACCCGTCCGAGAGCGTGTTCGTGTCGATGTTCAGCGCGGGCAGGCTGCCGGAGATGAGGCCGTCGGGGTTGTAGTAGAAGTTGCCGTAGTTCTGCGCGTAGCCGTAGTCCATCGTGCACCGGCACGCGGTCGGGCTCGGCGACGGCGCGGGCGTCGGCGCCGGGGTCGGCGTGGCCGAGGGCGCGGGCGTCGGGGCGGGCGTCGGCGTCGCGGACGGCGCGGGCGTCGGCACCGTCGAGGGCGACGGCGTCGGGGCGATGGTCGGCGAGGCCGTCGGCTCGGGGGAGCCGGACGGCACGGGCGTCGGGTCGCCCGTCGGCACGCCGGACGGCGCCGGCGACGGCGGCGTCGACGGCTGGGACGTCGGCGTCACCGTCGGCATGCTCGTGGGCACCGACGTCGGCACGCCCGTCGGGGTCTCCGAGGGCGCCGCGGACGGCGGCGTCGTCGGCACGGGCGTCGGCACGGGCGACGGGCACGGCGTCACCTTGAAGCGGCAGCACGCGTCGATGTACACGTCGCGCACGTCGAGGTAGCCCGAGTTCTTGATGTTGTCGGCGTCGGACTCGCCGCTGAGCCACGCGAGGCTCGGGCAGATCATGGACGGCGCGGACGTCGGGACCGAGGTCGGCATGCCCGTCGGGCGCGACGTCGGCGCGGACGTCGGCGGGACCGTGGGCAGGGACGACGGCGGTGTCGTCGGGACCGAGGTCGGCACGGAGGTCGGCGGGAACGACGGGGCGAAGGACGGCTCGGACGTCGGCACGCCCGTCGGCACGGACGTCGGCACGCCGGACGGGTGCTCCGTCATGTACGTGGGCTCGGACGTCGGGATGGACGAGGGCTCCGGAGACGGCGGCGTCGTCGGCATGCCCGTCGGCACCGACGTCGGGTTGGACGTGGGCTCGGACGACGGCGTGAACGTCGGGTCCGAGGTCGGGACGCCGGACGGCTCCGGCGTGTCGTAGGTCGGGTTCAGCGACGGCTCCGAGGTCGGGACGCCCGTCGGCGCGGGCGAGGGCTCCGAGGAGGGGCAGCCCGTCGGGAGCGAGGTCGGCACGGCGGTGGGCACGGACGAGGGCTCGGCGGTCGGCGTGGTCGTGGGCGCCGGCGTCGGCACGCCCGTGGGCACGGGCGTCGGCATGGCCGTCGGCGTGCCCGTCGGCATGGACGTGGGCGCGGAGGTGGGCACGGGCGTCGGCATGCCCGTGGGCGGCAGCGTCGGCACGGGCGACGGCGGCGTCGTCGGCACGGGCGTCGGGCGGACCGTCGGGATCTCCGTGGGCGCCGGGCTGGGCGGCGTCGACGGGTGCGGGCTCGGCGGCGTCGACGGCGTGCCCGAGGGCGCGCCCGTGGGCGTGCCGGACGGGAAGGGCGTCAGACTGGGCTTGGGCGTCGGCGCGGGCGTCGGGGTCGCCGTCGGCGCGGGCGTCGTCGGCTGGGGCGTCGGGGGGATCGTAGGCGACGGCGTCGGCGGCATCGTCCACGAGAGGTGGTCGAGGACGTAGGTGCAGCCGCAGATGTCGGTGATGATGGACTTGCAGTCGCCGATGGTCGGGCCGGGCGTCGGGGACGGCGTCGGCGAGACGGTGGGCGACACGGACGGGGACGGCGTCGGCGAGACCGTAGGCGCCGGCGTCGGGGCCGTCGAGGGCGACGGAGACGGCGCGGGCGTGGGCGCGGGCGAGGGATCCTTGGTGGCGGTCGGCCCCATCGTCGGCGCGACGGTCGGGGAGACCGTGGGCGCGACCGTGGGCGAGACCGTGGGCGTGGACGTGGGGAGCGACGTCGGGATCGTCGTCGGGAGCATCGTGGGGATGTTCGTCGGGCCGCTCGTGGGCACGGACGTCGGGACGCCCGTGGGCACGGGCGTCGGGATGTTCGTGGGCGAGCTCGTCGGCGTCGACGTCGGGTCGGTCGTCGGGACGGATGTCGGCATGAAGGTCGGCATGAAGGAGATCGTCGGCAGCGGCGTCGGCGCCGACGTCGGCGTGCTCGAGGGCATCGGCGTCGGGACGCCCGTCGGCGTGTGGGAGCAGGCGTTGGCGTCGTAGATGTAGCAGCACGTGGACGCGAGGGAATCGAACTCGAAGCCCAGCGCGGCGCCCGTGTAGACGTCGTCGTAGTTCGTCCCGTAGTCGTCGCACGTATTGTGCTGGTAGGCCGCCGAGAAGCTCGTCGCCTCGGCGCCGCCCACGAGGAGGGCCGCGGCCACCACGAGGCGCGCCATCGCCCTAGGACCTGTTGGCGGGTCGCACGGCCTGAACTTGGAGAACCTGTCCGCCTCCCGCCGGGAAATGCGGACTAGATCCGGCGGATTGTGGGAGCACCGGTGGAGGGCTGCCCGGCCGCTAGCCAAACCCGCAGGAAAGCTGGGTACATTCCAAGCTGATATTGTAGGGAAGGGAGGTGAGCTTGCTTGGCCAATCAGCAAGCCGGTTTGGGTTGTCGATGCAACGATTTTGTTGCCTTTAACTAGAATAGGCATTTTAAATGCCCCGCGTTTTCGCCGAGACCCGGGTCGTTGCGATTGCGTCCGTCGACGTAAGCACTGGCGATTGTCGTTAGGTCACCATCAAGTCAATGTGTGTCGGGGCAGCTCGTTGAAGCCTCCCGATCGAGTGCTCTGCGATGATCGCGTCGCAGTGATCGCAATACAGGAGCCGCAGGCAGTGATCGCAGGCAACGCAGGAGTCGCAGGCATCGCGACGACAAGCATGCGAGCGCTCGCGCTCCTCATCACCATCGCGACGTCCTCGGCGCTGCTGCCATCCACGACACGCGCACCCCGCTCCGCGCTCCGCTCCGCGCCGCCCGGCGGCGCGGACCTCTACAACGGCGAGGACGACGAGCGCAACGCGCAGGTCGCGGCCCTGAAGCGCTCCTTCTACGGCGTGCCCGCCGCGCCGCGCGCCGAGGCGTCGCGTTCGCGCGTCGCCGTGCCGTCGCGGTCGTCGTTCGGCCTGCTCGAGGACGTGCCGCTCTGCCGCTGGTCCGGCGCGCTGCTGCCGCACTCCCAGCTCGCGCTCAACGTCTGGCAGCCCCAGTACACGCACCTCTTCGAGGAGCTCTTCGCGACGCCCGAGCCGTGGTACTACGCGCACGTGCGACTCCCCGGCGGCGCCGCGAACCTCAACAACCCGGCCTACGACTTCTGCGCGCTCGACTGCTCCGCGCCGCGCGCGGGCACGCTCATGCGCGTCGCGTCCTTCCGCCGCGAGGCGGACAACCGCCTCAGCGTCGTCGTCCAGGGCGTCGCGAGGTGTATCGTGGAGCGGGGCCCGGCTCCGGCGTCCGAACGGAACCGCGACGACCGCCCGCCCGGCCTCCGCACGTCGCGCGACGCGCGCCGGGAAAAGGGGAAGGCCGCTCGCCCTGCCTCGCCCTTCCTCCCGCTCGCCCTTCCTCCCGCTCGCCCTGCCTCGTTCGACGTCCGCGCGTCCTAGGCCGCCGCGCGTTGCCGTACGCGCGCGCAGACGTGCGGCTCGCGCCCGACGGCGAGGCCCTCGCGCACGGCGCGTCGGACGCCTGGCCCCGGGCCTGGGCCGCGGCCGTCGAGGCCGACGAGGCCTGGGCGGCCTACGAGTTCGGCGCGCCGCCGACGGACCCGCGCGCGGTGCCGCCGCTCTGCCAGTTCTCCGCGGCCGCGGCCGCGCCGCCGCCGACGCCGGAGCCCGCGCTCGACGCCGCGGAGCGCGCCTTCGCCGCGCGGCCGCCGCCGGCGGCCGTCGACGCCGCGTTCCGCGCCGCGCGCGACGCCGCGGACGCGGCGCTCCTCCGGCGACGGGAGGCCGAGGTCTGGGTGAAGCTAGACGCGCTGCTCGCGGCGCTGCGGTCCCGGCCCGAGACGGCCGGCGCCGTGCCCGTGCCGTCGCAGCTCCTGGGCCTCCTGCCGCGCGACGAGGCCTGGCCCGGCGACTTCCGACTCGACGGTGTCGCGGCGGACCTCGCGCGGCGGAGCGCGGAGCTCCCCGACGACGTCGACCAGGCGGACCGGCGCTTCGTCGCCGCGCGCGACAACTACCCGGCGCACCGCCGCGCGTCGCGCCTGAGCTTCGCGGTCTTCGCCGTCATCGGTGGCGGCGGCCAGGACGCGCTCGACGCGGCGACGGCGGCGGACCGGCTAGCGCTCGCGGCGGCGCGCCTCGACGCGCTCATCGCGAGCCTCGCCTAGTCTTTATCGCGGAGCAGGGCGTCGACGTCGACGCCGTGGGGCGCGCCGAGCGCCGCGAGGAGCGCGGCCGTCGCCGGGCGCCGCGCGCCCGTCGCAGACGCGTCGAACTGGGTCACCTCGAGGCTCTCCGCGAGCTCCACGAGCGCGGCGACGTCCGTCGCCGTCGCCGAGAAGCCGAGCCGCTGGCGCACGGGCGCGCCGACGACGTCGACGCCGCCCAAAACGGAGAACAGCTCCCGGAGGTCGTCGTCGTCGTCGAGGTCGTCGTCGCCCACGGGGAAGAGCAGCGCGCGCGCGCCGGCGTCGCAGAGCTCGCCGACGACGAGCTCCGCGGAGACGTGGTCCACGTCGGCGGCCGCGTCGGCGAAGCCGACGTCGCACGACAGGCCCGCCGCCGCCGCCGCCGCCGCGACGTCGAGCGCGGCGCCGCGGTCGTCGACGGCGCAGTCGTAGCGCACGCCCACCGCGCCCACGGCCCGCGCCACGTCGACGTCCTCGACCGTGACGACGCGCGCGACGCGGCCGGACGAGCGGTCGGCGGGCGCGACGACGACGAGAGCGCCGGAGCCGGCGTGCGCGCTCGCGGAATGCTCGAAGATGCGCAGCGTTTTTGTCGTGGAGATGAAGGTGCCGCTCTGGCTGTCGTAGTAGCCCTCGGCGCTGCTGACGCGCCTGTTGGTGGCGCGCAGGAATCGGCGCGCAACTCGAGCTGTGGCCATATCGTCTTGTGGCAAAGTTGTTGTTGATGTTTTCAGCGAAGACCTCGGTCGTCGACTCGAGCGGCATCCCGCGGGCCCCGCGCTCGACTCCGTCGAACCCCCCGCCGCGCCTCGCAGCGGCCATGCAGGTCGCGGGCGAGGCGCCCGCGCCGCAGCCGTCGTCGTCGAAGGCCGTCCAGCGGTTCTTCGCCTTCATCTGCGTGAGCACGCTCTGCCGCGCCTTCGAGGCGGGCATCTGCGCGTCGATGATGCCGAAGATCGCGGACTCGCTGCGGCTCAGCTACGTCCAGGAGGGCGTCGTCGCGTCGGCGCCGGACTACGGCATCGTGCCCGCGGGGTTCCTGGCGATCCTGCTCTTCGAGCGCGTCGACGCGTACCCCGTGCTCGTGCTCGGCAACCTGCTCATCGGCGCCGTCGCGCTGTGGTGCGCGGCGTTCCCGAGCTACGGGAGCCTCGTGACGGCGCGCGCCGTCGGCGGCCTGGCTTGGGGCTGCTCCATGGTGCACTACCCGGCGTGGATCAACGCCAAGGGCCCCGCGGCGTCGAAGACGATGTGGCTCGCGCTGTCGAACGTCGTCCTGCTGGGCGGCATCCTCGTGGGCTTCGCCGTCGGCGGCGCCTGCGCGTCCAAGTTCCCCGAGGTGACCTGGGACGCGCTCTACGGCGTCGAGGCGGCGATGATGGGCGCGGCGGGCCTCGCCGCGGCGACGTTCCACGCGGACCTCGTCCAGGTCGTGCCGCGCGCGGGCCGCAAGGCGTCGGCGGACGCCGGCGAGCGCAGCGAGCTGCTCCTCGGCGACGCGGAGCGCCCGCGGAAGCCGCGGAGCCCCTGGGCCAAGTGCAGATCCGTGCTCGCGTGCCGCCTCTTCGCGTGGACCGTCGGCGCGGGGTCGTTCGTCTGCGGCACCGTGGGCTTCCTGCTCTACTTCATCGCCCAGGTCGCCGAGGCCCAGGCGCCGACCTGGTCGCCCGCGGCGCGCTACGGCACGATCTCCGCCGTCTTCGTCGCCGCGCCGATCCCGGGCAACTTGTTCGGCGCGCGCTACGTGCAGCGGACCTGCGGCGGCTACGAGAACTTCTCGAAGACCCACGCCTTCACGATCAAGTGTGCCTTCGCCGGCGTCGTCGCCATCGCCTGCATGCCCATCGCGTCCTTCACGAGCTTCGACCCCGCGGAGCGGCCCGAGGTGCTGCCCGGCGCGTGGCGGCCCGTGCTCTTCTGCAGCCTCGTCTGGGTCTTCCTCTTCGCCGGCGCGGCGCCGACGGCGGCCATCAACGGCATCGTCCTCGCCGCGGCGCCGCCCGACGCCTCGGTCTACGCGAGCGGCATCCAGTTCGCGGTGCAGAACGGCGCGAAGCTCCTCGTGCCCCTCGTCGGCGGCGCGGTCATCGACGCCGCGGGCCTGCTGCCGGGCTTCGACGCCGTCCTCCTCTTCTCCGCCTGCGGCTACCTCGTCTGCGCCATCGCCGCGAAGCGCGCCGCGGACAAGCACCGGCCCTGGGCCGCGCGCGACGACGCGGACGACGCGGGCGACGAGCTCGACGCGCGCGGCGACTTCGAGCGCTTCGGCAAGCGCCTCGACGAGATCTCCGCGCGGTCCCCGGCGTCGCCGCGCGACCGCGACGACACGATCCTGTGATCGCTTCCGTAAAAGAATCGTTCGTTTCTCTTCAAGGTTGTGTGCTTGAACCGCCGGGCTGCCCATCGATGGTCCGAAATGATCACGGCGACCGCACCTACTCCGAGGCGGAGATGACGCCGAATCCGATGCGCAGCGAGGCCGCGGCGCCGGCGCAGGACCTGAGCCTGCTCTCGGACGCGGTCGTCAACGAGCTGCTGCGCGAGAAGGGTTTGAGCCTCGACGCGAGGATAGAATTTCTCTGCAAGCGCGTCGCGGCGCCGCCGGTGCCGCAGAACGCCTGGCATATCCTGGACTTCGTGCCCTTGGTCAACGTGCTCCGCGCCGTCTTCTTCAAGCGCGTGCCGGCGCCGGACCAGGTCAAGGACAAGATGAACATGCTGTGCCTCGTCTCCGCGCTCATGCTCTCGGCGAGCCTCGAGGTGTCCCTGGCCATCCAGGCGGACGACTTCGACGCCATCCTCGACCGCTTCGCGCACGAGCCCTACTCGAACTGCCACGTCGACGGCCCGCGACGCGCGGCGTCTTTTCTCGCGGTTTTCTCCGCCGCGGGGACGAGCGTACACGCGGGCCGATGTTCGTGGGGCTTCCGAAAAGAAACTTGAATGCCGAGCGGTGGTTCCGTCGACACACCGCGCGCGCGCGCGCGGCGATCGTCGCCGCGACGGCCGAAGGACAGGTACATGGTCAACGCGATCAACCGCTACCTCATGACGTCCGTGACGTGCAACCTGTCGGCGCTCGTCGTCTGCATCGGCATCTACATCGTCATGGACTCGATCGACGAGACGTGGGACATGGCGATCATGTGGCGGTGGACGCGCGCGCCCGTCATCCTCGTCTGCATGCTCGTCATCTGGGGCTCGGGCGACACGGTCTCCGCGTTCAAGTATCGCCACTTCGCGCTGATCCCGAACCAGTTCGTCGAGGAGAAGGGCTCCTGCTCGCACACGGAATGGGATCCAGATTTTGGCACCACGAAATTCCCGGACGCGAGGCTGTTCCGCGACAGCTGGGGCAACTTCGAAAACTTCTACATGTCCATGTGCTTCTTCGCCATCTCCTTCTCGTCGATCTGCGTCTCCTACGGCACCTTCGCAGCGACCCGCGACACGAAGACGATGCCGGAGCCGAGCCGGAAGATCGTCGCGCGCCAGCGCACGGCGTCTGGTCCGCGGCGGGACTCCGGCACGGCCGACGCGCCGGCCGGCGGGAACTGGTTCACGGCCCGCATCGGCCGAGCTCGATTTGGCGAGACCGTCTGCTTGTAACAGCGCCCCCAGCGGTCGAATGTTCGGGCGACATGCCCGGCAGTTGAAGTTCAAGTTGAGCCCCTTGATCATGAGAGAGCATGCGATGGCGCAAGCATGGGCAGCCCTGCTGCTGGCTGCCTGCGCTTCCGCGCGCATGCGCGGCGCGCCGCGGGACCCGGCGCGCGAGCGCGCGGCGGCCCTGGCGCGCGCCGAGGTGCAAACGATCGACGAGCGGCTCGCGTACTGGACGGCGCCGACCGGGGGCCAGCGCACCAACTCCAGCACTTACCTCACCTTCGAGCTCGACAGCGGCGGCTGGAACAACGTGCGCATGGGCGTCGAGACCATGCTGGCGATCGCGCACGTGACGCGGCGCACGCTCGTGCTGCCGCCGCGCGAGCGCGTCTACCTGCTGAGGGAACCCGTCGACCTCCGGCGCTGGCTGCGCTTCGCCTGGCCGTCCGTCGAGGTCATCGACATGGCCGAGTTCCTGCGGCGCGAGGGACATCGCCTCGGCTGCGCGCCGCCGGCGGAGGCCGCGCCGGCGCTCTGGGCCGCGCTCCGCGCCGCGGGCCGCGACCCCGGCTGGATCCCGACGCGCCACTGCCTCGTCGCCTCGGAAACTCCCGACCCGATCGCGCTCGCGGCCTTCTGCGGCGGCCGCACGCCCGTGCGCTACGCCGACGCCGACGCCTGGCTCCTCCATTTCCCGCTGCTCTGCTGCTGCCCCGCGCCACACTCCGGCGAGTGCGCGTGGGAGGCCCGGTGGCGCCGCTGGGGCGCCGCGCGGCGTCCGCCGGCGGTCGTCTTGTACACTCGTTCGTCGCAGGCGGCGCGCCGGCCCACGCCTTCGTCTTCGGCGACGTCGGCGGCGTGCTCCGGGGCGGCGTCCGCTACGCGGACGCGATCTTCCGGGCCGCGTCGGGCGCCGCGCGGCGGTTCCCCGCGTCGAGCGACAGGAGTGCTGTTTCGCGTGAATTTCGCCTGAAGATGTGAAGAAATCCGACCCCGTCGCACTTGGTAGGCGGCTGCCACCGTCGTTCGCGGCGCTGCACGTGCGCCGCGGCGACTTCGCGCACGCGGCGAACGCGACGGCGGAGGACTATTACAGAGCCGCCGCGCCGCTCCTCGCGCCCGGCGAGGCGGTCTACGCCGCGACGGACGCGGACCCGTCGTTTCTCGACGCGTTCCGCGCGCGCGGCCACGCCGTCACGACAAGAAACGACGTCCGCGACGTCTTCGACGCCGCGGGCCTCAGCGAGGACATGCACGGCCCCGCGGAGCAGCTCGTCGCGACGCTGGGCCGCGCGTTCGTCGGCTCCGAGGGTCCGAGCGGCCGCGTCTTCTCCGAGTTTCCTCCGTCACGCTCCCTTTAGGCTCGACCTTCTCGAATTACGTCGTCCGCCTCCGGGGCTATCGAGGCCACGGCTCTTCCGCGTTCCTGGAACGCGGCGGCGTCGGCGCGGCGGCGTCGGACGCGTGGCCCTACGCGCCCTACTGGTTCCGCGAGTGGTCCCTGGCCTGGGACGGGGGCGCGACGCGGCGCGAGGACCCGGCCGCCGCCGCGCGGCGCGCCGCCGCGACCCGCGCCGACGCGGCGTGCCGCCGGAGAGGCCAGGGCTTCGACGTGCCGCGGCTCCGCTGCCAGGCGGACGGCGACGCGCCCGGCCCCGCGCCGCCCCCGCTCGCAAACTGCACGCCGCCGTCCCGCGTCCGCTCCTTCCCGACGCCGCCGCCCTTCGTGGGCTACGACTACTCCGGCGACGAGTGCAGCTGCGCGTACGCGCGCGGGCTCTCGCTGTGCCCCGCGAAGAAGACGGGCCGCGCGAGGGACCGCGCGCGGCACGCCGCGGCGCCGTGCGCGCGATAAATTAAAAGGGGAGGAGATACGGTCCGGAAGCGGCGGGCGCCGCGCGTCGGGGATACGGTCCGGAAGCGACGGGCGCCGCGCGTCGGGATACGGCCCGGAAGCGGCGGGCGCCGCGCGTCGGGATACGGTCCGGAAGCGGCGGGCGCCGCGCGTCGGACGTCGGGGGCGCCTAGCGCGACGCGTGGAAGACGCGGCCCTCGAGCTTGAGGTCGTCCTTCGCGGCCTCGAACTGGGACTCGGTGACGCCCGCGCCCATGGCGGCCGTCGTGTTCGAGCCGCCGGCGGCGACGGCCTGCTGCTGGTCCATGAGCTCGGCGCCGGACCTGTGTGGAATTCAAATCTTCAACCCGACTTCAATGTGCGCGTATGCGACGGTTTCGTCGCAAGCTCTTCTTCTATGCTTCGAGAACTCGACGAGAGCAATCGATTCGTCCAAAAATCAGCTGAATCGACTTCGAATTGACCGAGATAGAGAGTTCTGAAGTTTGGTGGGGACCCCCCAAACCAGTGGTTGATTTCCACACAGCGCCGGACCACTGCTGGTGCTTGAGCACGGCGACGCCGCGCGCGCGCTCCTCGCGCTGGATCGTCTCGACGTAGCCGAGCATGCCGCGGTCCTTGTACTCCTGGACGAAGTTGTGCGTCGCCAGGCCGTTGCTGTGGAAGCCCGCGAGCGTGATGAACTGCCAGACGAAGCCGAGCCGCGCGAGGTCGCCCGTGTAACTCTCGATGGCCGCGTCGCCGTCGAAGACGCCTTCCGCGTCCCAGTTGAAGGAGGGGCTCAGGTTGTAGGCGAGCATCTGGTCCGGGAATTCGGCCTTTACCCCCTTGGCGAAATCCGCGGCCTGGCCCAGGAGCGGCTTCGCCGTCTCCATCCAGAGCAGGTCCGCGTGCGGCGCAAAGGCCTTGGCGCGCGCGATGGCGTAGTCCGTGCCGGCCTGGATGCGGTAGTAGCCCTCGCGCGCGCGGGGCGCGTGCCAGTCGAAGAAGGGCGCGGGCGCGCCGAGGAGCTCCTCGGCCGCGCGCCGCATCGCGTCGAGCGACGGCCCCTTGGCGACGAGCGCGTCGAAGCGAGCCAGGGCGTCGCCCGCGAGCCGCGCGCGGACGAGCTCGGGGAAGGTCTTCAGCCCCGCTTTGTCGAGCCACTGCGCGCCGACGGCGTCCGGGTCCGCGCCGCCGAGCGCGCGCGCGGCGGCCACGGTCTCGTTGAGCGTCGCGAGGCCCGAGAACGGCGTCCCCGCGAGCGGGTCTTCGACCGTCGCGCCCAAAATAAAGGCGTGGTCGCGCGCGTCGATGTCCGACGACAGGAACGTCGCGGCCTCGCTGTCCGTGCGCGCGACGACGAGCGTCGACGTGCCCAGGATGTCGCACTGGAGCCGCGCGGCGACGAGGCGGTCCGCGTGCTCGCGCATGGGCACCAGCACCTTCCCCCCCATGTGGCCGCACTTCTTCGTGCCCGGCGCCTGGTCCTCGAAGTGGACGCCGGCGGCGCCCGCCTCGACCATGAGGCGCGTGAGCTTCATGACGGCCGTCATGCCGCCGTGGCCCGTGTCGCCGTCGGCGACGATGGGCGTCATGTAGTCCGGCCGGGGCTCGTCCTCGGCGCCCGCGCGGACGGCGGCCTCCCAGGTGCGCCGGTCGTGGTGATTGAGGGCCCGAAAGAGCTGGTCGACCTTCTTCGGCACCGTGTCGTAGGGGTAGTCCTAAAACGACGCTCGCGCGGCGCGCGAAACAAAGCGACGCCGCGGCCGCGCGGCGAAGTCCGGGCCCGGCTCGTTGCTGCTGCTCGCCGTCGACGAGCTCTGCCAGCCGCTGACGTAGATGCTCGTCAGATTCGGCGCCATGCCGACGGCCTGGACGGGGTCGAGCGCGCCGTAGGTGCGGCTGTGGCCGCCGACGGCCTTGCACTCCTCGAGCGTCGCCATGAGCTTCTTCGCCATGGCGTCGGGGAGCGAGTGGCCGTCCATGGAGCCGCGCAGGGACCTACCGCGTCACGATTCTTCTTCGCGAAAGTCGAAGATTCCTCTTCGTGAAAGTCGTCGCGGCGACGCCGCGCAGCGACACGACGTCCTTGGCCGTGTAGGGGCGAACGATGCCCTTCCAGCGGTCCTCGGCCCACCAGGCTTCGATAGCCGCGGCCTCGGCCGCGACGTCGCGCGTCGCCTAGCATTGAGCATGTTTACCCAGACAAACACCCAAGGGACGCGGCGCGTCGCCGGCGGCTGGCGCGGCATGAGGCCCGACGGCGGCGCGTCGACGGCGGCGGCGCCGAAGGCGCGCGCGAAGGAGGGGAGGCGGCGCACGGCGCGCGTCGCGAGCATGGCGGCGAAGCGTGCGGCGGCCCGCGCGTGGATTGGGTACTGGCGCAGCCGGCTGTGTTTCGCAATAGGGGCTGCCGGCAGGTTTTGGCCTATTCACCTCGTGTTCACGGGCAGCTTCGACGTCCAATATGTTGCCTTTCAACATCTTGAGCAAATTCAACGAATCCAGTTGTGCCGGTGTGAACGGGGGTTGCCCACAGGGCTGGACTGCCGGGTGTTGTCCCCGTGCCGTCGAGGCGCGGTTTCGCGGGTCGGGGGGGCGGGCCGACGCCCCGGACCGCGCGCGAAACGTCCGCGACGCGCCCGCCGCCCGTCGCGACGCGCGCCGGCGTTTGCTCGACGGCGCGCCGCGGCGCCGCCATGGGGCTGCCCCGGCGCCTCGGGGCCGTCGTTTTTCTCTGGGTCGCGGGCCTCGCGTCCCCGGAGGAGCTCGATCCCATGCTCATCATCGAGGGGTCCGTGTCCATCGACGGCCTCAGCGAGGCGCGCGCCATCGAGTACCTCGACGTGCTCGAGGCGGGCATCTCCGCCGTCGCGGGCCGCGAGTCCGCGGACGTCACGCTCGTCGCCCCCGCGGACACGCGGCGGGCCCTGGTCGACGGGGGCCGGCGACGGTTCGCCGGCGCGCCCGGCGCGTCCGCGCCGGAGCCGGGACGACGACGAGCCGACGTCGTCGGCGTCGTCGTGAGCTACGGGGCAGCAAAAGGGTGATTCAACGTCGCTTCAACGTGAGTGTTCCGCGCGCGCGCGTTCCGGAAACAGCACCCACGCTTCGAGAGCGCTCCGAGAGATGATCGCTCGTCCAAAAATCAGCCGAGACGAGTGGAAAATGGCCGAGATCGGAGCCTTTGAAGTTGGGAATTTCGCACCCTTTTGCTGCCCAGGTGAGCTACCGGCTCGTCGAGCCCGTGACGTCGAGCGAGGGCGTCGTCGCCCAGCTCGCGACGGCGGACCCCTTCGACTACACGGAGGCCATCGACGAGGCCGCCGCGTCCTCCGGCGACCCGAACGCGACGCAGGTCTTCGCGCTGGCCGCCGTGACGGACGTGACCGCGCCGATCACGTACTTCGCGCCGACGCCGATGCCGACGCCGCGGCCCCGGGGCGGCGTCCCCGAGGTCACGGGGTCGTCGTCGAGCTCGAAGCGCAAGGGCCTGCGCAAGTCGACGCTCGTCTCCCTGTGCGTGGCGACGTTCTTCATCTGCCTCACGCTCGTGCTCATCCGCCTCGCCAAGTCCGACCGCCTCATGGAGGAGCTCCGCGAGGCGCGCAAGGCCGAGACGAGGGTGGCCGTCGTCGACAGCGGGCCCGAGAAGGTCCACCCCGTCGCCGTGCCCGTGTCCTCCGACGGCTCCGACGCGAAGGACGCGGGCTTCGCGCGGCCCGCGGAGCTCAGCCTCGGCTGGCGGTCCTAGCGCCCACCCCCCGTCCTAACTCCGCCGCTCGTTCTCGCTTCTCGTGCGCGTTAGTCCCTAGGCGCGGCGCTGGCGCATGCGCTCCTCGCGGCTGAGCCGCGCGGGCACGAGGTCGCCGAGCTTGCGGTAGCGGCCCCTGTGGAAGTTGTCCTTGTCGGACCAGCCGGGCTTGTTCGTGTAGGTGAGGTAGAGCGTCGGCCGGGGCTCGTCGGACTTGTTGCCCATGCCGCGGTGGCCGACGCGGTAGTCGAAGACGATGGCCGTGCCCGCCTTGGGCGCGGGGAGCCAGGACTTGGCCGCGTCCCAGGCGTCGTCGCCGAGGACGTGGGACCCGAGCGTGAACTCGGTGGGCCCGTTGGACCGCGCGCCGAGCGTCAAATCCACCAGCGGCACGAAGACGTTGACGGCGTGCGGCAGCGCGTGCTTCCGCTTGTCGAGGTGGACGCCGTCCGTGTGGTAGTCCTGGGACTCGGCGCCGGGCAGGCTCATGAAGACGCCCGCGGCGATGAGCTCCGTCGCGCCGCCGCCGAGGACCTCGGTGACGACCGGCCGCCAGTTGGCGTCGGCCGCGACGGCCGCGGCGCCGACGTCCGCGTCGAACTGTTTCTCGTCGCGCTGGTGCACGAAGGGCGGATTCATGTCGAAGCGGCCCCGGCCGCGCTCGCGGAAGACGTCGAAGCCGACGGCGAGGTCGTGGTGCAGCGACCGCGCGGTCACGGTGCGCATGACCGCTTCGTAGAACGCGAACGTCGCGGCCCTGAGGCGGTCGACGGCCGCGGCGTCGAGGTAGGGCGCGTCGAGGCAGCAGACGCCGTCGCGGAAGAACGCGCCCGCGAGCGCGAGCACCGCGGGGTCTGTGGAAACGGGCACGTAGCGCGTCTTCGCCTCCATGGCCCGCGTCGCCGCGTCGCCGCTGTCGAGGGCCGCGAGGGCCTCGAGGGCCGCGGGGTCGCCGCCGCCGGACGCGATGAGTCGCTCGCGCGCGGCGTCCGCGGCGACGCGGCGCTCGACGGACTTCTTCGACCGGTACTTGGCGCCGTCGGGCGCGTGCCAGACGTTGTACGTCGTCCCCGCGCTCTTGTCCTGCGGGCCCCGCGTGAACGTCTCCACGGTCCAGCCCTCCGGGCACCAGGCGGCGTCGAGGACGACGGCGCCGCCGACGTGGCTGCTCTGCGCGTTCTTCGCCGCGACGCGCTGCTTCGCGTCGCCCACGTCCTCGTACTTGGCCTCCTTGCGCTTGCCGATGTAGCCGAAGCCCTTGCGCTTCGTCGTGCCGTCCTTCGCCGGCGGCGCGGCCTTTTTGGGCTGCGCGGCCTTGGTGGCCTTCGGTGGCGCGGGCGAAGCTGCCGATAGAGCCTCCTCCATTTGAGATTTTGACACTGGTTCGGCGAGCCGATCATGCCTAGTTCGAGCAGTGATCGAGCAGCCCGGGCTCTCGTCGTTCGCGGCGGGGTCCGCCGTCTTCGGGTCCGCGGCCTGGGGCTGCGGATCTTGAGGTAGACGAGCCTTTGTTCTGAGCCTGGTGGTCTCGTCGGTGCCAGTAGACGAGCCTTTGTTCTGAGCCTGGTGGTCTCGTCGGCGCCATGGCCTCGCTCGTCGCCAGCGAGGAGACGGAGAGCGTGCGGCGGCGCGGCTCGAGCGTCACGTGCCCGATCTGCCTCGAGCCGCTCGTCGACGCCGTGCAGCTCAAGCCCTGCGAGCACCAGTTCTGCGCGGGCTGCGCGTCGACGTTCCTGCGCATGAACGCGGACACGCACTGCGCGCCGTGCCCCATCTGCCGGTCGCCGAGCGAGCTCGGGGCCGTCGTGCTCGCGGCGACGGGCGAGAACCTGCTCGAGCACCAGCTCCGCGAGCGGCGGCGGAGCCTGAGCGACGACGCGGGCGGCGCGCGCTACTTCGACGTCGCGGTGAAGACCAAGGCCGTCGCCTTCGGCCCGCCGCGCGCCGCGCGCCACGCCGCCGGCGCCGACGCGCAGTCGCCGTCGCGGAGGACGCCGGACCTCTGGGTCATCGCCGACAGCTGCTACTTCTCCATCGACGCGGACGTCGCGGGCCTGCCCCGGGGCCGCTACGACGTGTTCTTCCACTTCAAGCGCGTGCGCGACTTCAAGCTCGACGAGCCCGTGAAGCTCGCGGTCTCGCGGGGCGACGCCGTGCTCCTCGAGCGCACCGCGAACCTCGCGAAGCCGGGCAGAGACGCGACGAAGGAGGGGCGGTGGAAGATGCTCGAAGTCGGCGCCGTCGACGTCGCCGAGGACGGCGGCGGCTTTCAAGCGCGCATGACCGCGGACCGGCCCGACTGGTGGAAGAGCGGCCTCCTCGTGGACTGCCTCGTCGTCCGCCCCGCGGCGCCGCCGCCGCCCAAAGCGAAGAAGAAGGACTGCGCCGTAAGCTAGCTCGAGACCGCGCACGTAAAAGCGGAGGAACGTTAAAGGCGAGATCGGGCGGGCGCCGCGGGTTCGCGCGCGGGGCCGCCGCCGGGAGGAGGGGGGTCGGGGGTCTTGGGGGTTGGGGGGTCGCGCGCGGCCGCGCGCCGCGCCGCGGCGACACGGAGAGGCTAGTACCGGTGCCGGCCGAAGCCCGTGCCGCCGCCGCCGCCGCCGCCGCCGCCGCCGAACTGGGACCCGCCGCCGCCGCCGCCGCCGAGGTTCGACGACGCGTTCGACGTGCCCTGGTTCATGAGGCGCTGGCCGTGGCTGAGGCCCGAGAAGCGGCGGAGGCCGATCTGGAGGCCGCTGGGCCCCGGCGCCTGCTGGGCCGCCGACGAGTAGGCGTCCTGCGTGCCGCTGGGCGCCTGGTAGCCGAGCGCCGCGTGGCCGCCGCCGCCGAGCTGGCTCGTGCGCTGCATGGCGCCGTGGCCGCTCCGGTTGCCGTGGTTGGACCGCTGGTGGTGGCCGCTGCGCAGGGAGCCGTGGCGCGAGCCGTGGGCGCTGTTCCGGCTGTGGCTCGACGAGCCGTGGCTCGAGATGCCGGGGCCGTAGCGCGCGTTCCGCGCGTAGCGCGACGTCGCGAGCTGGCCGCCCGCGGTCGCGGCGCTGCCCGCGCCGCCGCCGGAGCCGTAGGCGCCGCCGGCGTCCTTGGCGCCGTAGCCCCCCGAGCCCGAGCCCTGCTGCGACGACGCGCCGCCGAACTGCGCCTTGGCCGCGTTGCCGAGCGCGGACGAGTACGCGCCGCCCGCGCCGCCGCTGCCCGGGTTCGACGCGCCGTTCTGGGCGTTGGAGCCCTGCATGGGCAGCTTCGCCGGCGCCATGCTGGACGGCGCGACGCCGAGCGCGAGCGCCGCGTCGTCGAGGATGTCGCCCGTGCCCGCGGACGCGCCCGTCGGCGCCGCGGACGGCTTCATGGGCTGCTGGCTCGGCGCGTGGGACGCCTGCTGCTGCTGCTGCTGCATGGGCTGGGGCGGCGGCAGGGACGCGTTGACCTGGAAGAAGGGGTACTGGAGCGTCTGGCTCGCGGTGGGCCGCTCCTGGGGGTCGAACTTCATGAGGTCCTCCATGAGCGTGATGCCCTCGCCCGACGCGTTGGGGATGATGACGCTCAGGTTCGTCGGCACGAACTGGGGGAAGCGGAAGTTCATCTGCGCCGCGAGCTTCATGCCCTCCTGCCACGTCCGCATCGTCGGGCTGCCCAGCACGGAGCAGATCTTGTAGATCATGTCGGCCTCGGACGACCCGGGGAAGAGGGGCCGCAGCGTGAAGAGCTCGGCCATGATGCAGCCGCAGGCCCACTGGTCGATGGGCGAGTTGTAGTTGACGGAGCGCAGCAGCACCTCGGGCCCGCGGTACCACCGCGTGCTCACGTAGTCCGTGTACGGCGGCCGACTCCGGATCTCGCGCGCGAGCCCGAAGTCGGCGACCTTGCAGGTCTCGCCCTTGACGAGCATGTTCTCGGGCTTGATGTCGCGGTGGAAGAAGCCGTGCTTGTGCATGAAGGCCAGGCCCTGGAAGATCTGGTACATGATGTTGCGGATCTTCGATTCGGGGAAGTGGCGCTCGCGCTTCTTCATGACCTCGTAGAGGTTCATCTCCATGTACTCGAAGACGAAGTAGAGCTCGTCGTTCTCGCGGATGACCTCCTTGAGCTTGATGATGTTCGGGTGGTTGAGCTTCTTGAGCGACTTGACCTCGCGGAGCTGCATGCACTCCTCCCACGTGTAGAACTTCTTCTTCATCTTCTTGATGGCCGTGACCTCGCCCGTCTGGCGGTTCACGGCCTTGAGCACGGAACCTGAGAGAGGAGGCCGTGAGATCGTGCCCGGGGTCCCCGGGGCGCGCGCGCGGGGCTGCCCCCGACCCCCGCCGCCCCCGCGGCCGCTCGCGCGGACGCCGCGCCGCGCCGTAGGTCCCGTCGCCGAGCTGCTTCGTGATCTTGTAGCGGTTCATGGCGCTACCGGCGTCGCCCGCGGTCCGTCACCCGCGGTCTCCGAGCGTCGTCGCGCGGCGGCCGGCGGCGCGCTTGGCACTGGCTGGAAGCTGGCAAACTGGCAGGTGCAGCGAGGGGCAACGTCGGCCCTTGCACTGCCGTTAGGATTTTCCCAGCAAGGCGGGAAGAGTCCGCTAGCTCTCGAGGCTGCCTCTCCGCGCGCTGCAGCCGACATGAAGATGCTGCGGCACCTGCGCCACCTCGTCTTCGGCGGGCGCACGACGAAGCGGCTGCCCAAGGGCATGCTCGAGCGCCTGCCCAAGTTCGAGGAGTTCATGCGCAAGGCGGAGTTCCTGGGCATGAGCCGCGAGGACGTGGCCCAGCTCATGATCGTCTTCCACGACTTCGACGTCTTCCAGCAGGGCCACATCGTCTTCTTCGAGTTCCTCATGGGCATCGACGTGGAGCGTACGCCCTTCACGCACCACATCTTCGCGGAGGTGCTCGACGACGACAAGAACGGCCGCGTCGACTACCGCGAGTTCGTCGCGGCGTTCTACGCCTTCTGCACGTTGACGAAGCGGAGCCTTGCGTCCCTCGCGTTCCAGTGCTACGCCCAGGAGTATCCCGCGGGCCTCCACCGCACGCGCCTTGAGCTGCGCCTCGAGGAGTGCAAGCTCCTCGTCGACTCGACGTTCGGGCCGCGGCGGTCCGCGGCGCGCGACGCGACGGAGCTCGCGCTGACGACGCTCTTGGAGAAGAACGGCGGCGGCATCGCCCGCGACGAGTTCCTCGTCTGGGCCTTCCGCAACGAGCGCGCGCTCTACCCCGCGTTCTCCATCCAGCAGGCGCTCATCAAGAGTTGCCTCGGCGCGGCCTACTGGAAAGACCTGGGCAAGAAGCGCGAGCGGCGCTTCGGCACCATGACCTGGCTCGACATCGAGGACGCCTACGACCGCAAAGTGCTGCGGGACGCGGCGGACCAGGGCCTCGCGGAGCCCGCGTGCCTCGGCGTCCGCGTCGACGCCGAGCGCGAGGCCAAGAAGGACGACGAGCCGGACGACGACGCCAACGCCACCGCCCCACCAACGACGGCGCCGCGCCGCCGGCGGCGGTCGTCGACGGCGACGATCACGTCGCCCAACGGCCACAAGCGCGTCATCTCGACGTCCGCGACGCGGAACCGCTGGGCGCGGTCCGCGTCCGAGCCCGTTCCCGTGGCGACGGCCGTCGAGGGCGACCGCGGCGAGGACCTGCCCATGTCGCCCAAGGCCGTCGTCGTCGACCGGCGCGCGCAGCGGCGGTCGAAGACGTTCCCCGCGCCGCAGAAGCCCGCGCCGCGGCAGATCCGCGTCGCGCCCGCGCCGGAGCCCGAGCCGGAGCCGCGAAAGGAGCGGCAGCTCACGCGATCCGAGCGGCGGCGGCGGTCGACGAACAAGGACGCCGCGGACCGGGGCCTGCTCACGGCCATGTACATCCACCGCGAGCGGCCGGCCCAGGGCGCCGTCGGCTCCGAGTGGCACCAGGAGGCTTTGGTCGAAACCGAGGAGAAGCCCGCCGACCCCTGGGACCCGGAGAACATGAAGACGCCGCCGAAGCGCAAGCGCAAGCCCAAGGGCAGCGTCCTCAAGCGGAAGCGCGACGAGGTCTGGCGCGCGACGCCCGTCGCCAAGTGGAAGCTCGCGTCGCCCGAGCGGGGCGCGCTCCTCCGCGCGAGCGAGTAAGCTGTTTTGCGCGTATAGCGGTCCGAGCGAGCAACCACAAGCTAGTTTAATCAACGCCGGCGCCGGCGGCGGCGGCGGTGGCCCCGGTGCTGGCGGCCGTCGTCGTCGCCCTCGGCGAAGGGCGCGACGCCGGAGACGACGCGCGCGAACGCGGCGGCGTCCTTGACCGCGTCGGGCTCGTCGACGAGGACGAGGTAGGACCGCTGGTCGTCCTGGGGCAGGGCGAAGGTCTTGAGCCGCGAGTCGTCGCCCGGGTCCGACCGCGGCGCGACGGCCGCGAGCGGCGCTTCGTCGACGCGCTCGCCGCCGAAGGGCGTGTACGTCGTCACGCGGAGCAGCGGCGGCGCCGCCGCCGGCGCGGCGATCTCGAGGCGCCCGACGGTGCGCAGCGCGAGCGTCCGCACGACGTACGCGCCGACGGTCACGGACGAGACGCCGATGAGCGACACGAGGCCCGCGTTGGACGCGATGGAGCCCGTCGGGTCGAGCACGAAGGCCTCCGCGGCGACGTACGCGGCCCAGCAGCTCGTGTAGACGCCGCCGAACGCGGACAGCGCCCGGAACTTGAAGGACTGGTCGCTCTCGAAGAGGAGCGTCGTTTTATCTGGTTTGTCGTCCGCGCCGGCCGTGGCGAGGCGGCGCGCGAGCTGAGCGGTGAGCTGCGGCGCGGCGCGAAACGCTGGGAGGATGTGTGTGCTTCGTCGCAGCAGCATCATGCTGGCGGTGCTGGCTCGGCGGCAGGCGACGACGCAAGTGGCGGGCTTCACCATCTCTTCACCTTCGAAGCTTCGCATCAATAAAAATTGCCACAGCGACATGGGCTACCTCGCAGCCTCTCAGCCAGCGATGCGCAGCGTAAATCGATGAGCATCACGTGCACGTCGTGCGGCGACGTGCTGGAACCGGCGGGCTTCAGCAAAAACCAGCTGCGAACGCCCAAGACCGCACGCTGCCGCTGGTGCGTCGAGCAGGCATCACAGCAGCGGCGAGCTCCGCCGCCAGCGACGCAGCAGCGACGCGCGCGGCCGCCGCCCGCTACCACGCCACCGCCGACCGCAGCAACACCGCCGCCGCCGCCGGAGGCCGAGCTCGCGGCGCTCGCCGTCGCGGACCCCGCGGCGGCGGCCGCGCGCGAGGAGGAGGCCGAGGCGCTCGCGGCGATCTTCGGCGACGAGTTCCGCCCGCTGCCGCCGGGCGGCGCCGCCGCGCGCTACGAGATCGCGCTCGCGGCGGACCGCGCCGCGGTCGCGCTCGACGTCGTCTGCGGCGCCGGCTACCCGGTCGACGGCGCGCCGACGTTCGCGGTGCGCGCCGTCGCCGCGTGCGACGAGAAGGCGCGGCGCGCGCTGACCTGCGTCGCGGCGGCCGCGGCGGCCGCGGCGCCGGCGGGCGAGGTCTGCGTCTTCGAGGTCGCGGCGGCCGTGCGCGACGCCGTCGACGCGCTCGGCGCGGCGCCGGCCGCGGCGCCGGCCGCGGAGGCCGCGCCGGCCGGCGGCTGGACCTTCGAGCCGGCGTGCCCCCAGTTCGGCCAGCGGCCCGTGCGCTTCGACGCGGCGAGCGGCGACGACGCGCACGCCGTCGAGATCTTCGACGGCGAGCCCGTGACGGACCGCCGGTCGACGTTCCAGGCGTTCCTGGCCGTCGGCGTCGACTCGCTCGACAAGGCGCAGTGGGCGTTCCGGGCCATCCTCGCGCGGAACAAGTGCGGCCGCGCGACGCACAACATGCGCGCCTACCGCTTCACGGACGCCGCGGGCGTCCGCCGCGCGGACAACGACTCCGACGGGGAGGACGGCGCGGGCGAGAAGATGGCCTACCTGCTCGACGTGCTCGACGCGGACGGCGTCGCGGTGGTCGTGTCGCGCTGGTACGGCGGCGTCCACCTCGGGCCCGACCGCTTCCGCCACATCGCGCACTGCACGCAGAAGATCCTCGAGGCCCACGGCCACGCGCGCCGCGACAACGCACGATAAAAACGATCGTAATTCACACCTACTTACCCGTCCCGGAGCGCCGCGGCGACGGCGCGCATGTGGTCCGGGGACACGCCGCAGCAGCCGCCGACGACCGTCGCGCCCGCGGCGCGCCACGCGCGGCACTTGGCCGCGTAGGCGCCGGCCGTGAGGACGCCGCCGGCGTAGTCGGCGACATCCGCGGGCGCGTCGGGCCCGGCGCGGCAGTCGGGCCGGCCGACGGACGCGAGCCACGCGGACGTCGTGCCCGCGAACGCGTTCGCGTAGACGATCACGCGGAGCCCGCCGCCGTCGCGCGCGGCGGCCACGAGCGTCGGCAGCGCGGCGTCGACGGCGACGGGCGCGCAGCAGTTGACGCCGAGGCCCTCGAGCCGCGCGCCCGAGGCCCGCGCGGCGGCCACGATCGCCGCGAGCGCGCCGGCGAGCGGCTCGCCGCCCCGGAGCCGCGCGGTCGCGTCGTCGGCGAGCGTGACGCAGCACCAGAGCGGCGTGGGTATCCGGGCGCGCGCGACGCCCTCCACGGCCGCGACGGCCTCGGCCGACGACGACAGCGTCTCCGCGAGGAGCGCGTCGACGCCCTCGTCCGCGAGCGCCGCCGCGAGCGTCGCGTACGCGTCCGCGTCGCCCGCGCGGGCGCCGCGGGCCGCGTAGCACTCGCCGAGGGGCGGCAGCGACCCCGCGACGACGCGCCGCGGGCCGCCGGCCGCCGCGGCGCGCGCGCAGCGGACCGCCGCGCGCGCGAGCGCGACGGCGTCGTCCCCGACGTGGTGCGGCGTCGCGACGAAGGAGTTCGTCGTCGCGCAGCAGCGGCCGCGCCAGCCGCCGGCGTCGGCGGCGTCGAAGAAGGCGGCGTGCACGGCGCTGACGCCGTCGGGTTGCCGCGTGCAGGCCAGGCAGCCGCCGAGGAACGACTCGTCGCCGGACTGGCGCTTCCACTCGTGGCCCAGGCCGCCGTCGAGCAAGATGCACTCCGGTAGCGATGTGTTGTTTTGCAGCGAAGTGTTTTGCATCGCCGCCATCCGTCAAATCACGCGACGAGCGGTGTCGAATCGGCGTCCATGCTCGCAGAGCTCGCAGAATTACCTCGGCAGTCGCAAATCAACTTGCCCTCAAGGAGCGGCTCTTGTTAGAAAGCAAAGGCTATGACGAGCTCGATGAGCTCGGAAGGAAGCATGGCGCGGAAGCAGTCGAGCATGTAGGTGCGGATGTGACCGTGAATCAGCCACGCCACGTCTTTGTGGCCTTTTCTCTGCGCGATCTGCAGCGGCGTCGAGCCGCCCGACGTCGCCGAATTGAAATTGGCGCCGCGGGCGAGGAGCAGCTCCGCGACGGCGGCGTGGCCGTTCTTGCTCGCCATGAACAGCGGCGTCGCGCCGCTCTCGTCGGGCTTGTCGACGTCCGCGCCGCGGGCGAGGAGCATCTCGGCGATGGCGGCGTGGCCGTCCTGGCTTGCCGCGAGCAGCGGCGTCCAGCCGTCCTCCTCGGCCTTGTCGACGTCCGCGCCGCGATCGAGGAGCAGCGTGGCGATGGCGGCGTGGCCGTTCTGGCTCGCCATGAACAGCGGCGTCCAGCCGTCCTCCTCGGCCTTGTCGACGTCCGCGCCGCGGGCGAGGAGCAGCGCGGCGATGGCGGCGTGGCCGTTCTGGCTCGCCATGAACAGCGGCGTCGAGCCGCTCTGCTTCGCCTTGTCGACGTCGGCGCCGCGATCGAGAAGCAGCGCGGCGATGGCGGCGTGGCCTTTCTCGCTCGCGAGGAGCAGCGGCGTCGCGCCGTTCTTGTTCACCTTGTCGACGTCCGCACCGCCATCGAGAAGCAGCTCGACGACGGCGGCGTGCCCTTTCTGGCTCGCGATGAACAGCGGCGTCGCGCCGTCCTCCTTGGTCTTGTCGACGTCCGCGCCGCGATCGAGGAGCAGCGCGGCGAGGGCGGCGTGGCCGTTCTGGCTCGCCATGAACAGCGGCGTCGCGCCGTCCTGCCTCGCCTTGTCGACGTCGGCGCCGCGATCGAGGAGTAGCTTGGCGATGGCGGCGTGCCCGTTCTGGCTCGCCATGAGCAGCGGCGTCGTGCCGCTCTGCTTCGCCTTGTCGACGTCCGCACCGCGGGCGAGGAGCAGCTCCGCGACGGTGGCGTGGCCTTTCTCGCTCGCGAGGAGCAGCGAGGTCCAGCCATCCTTGTCCGCCTTGTCGACGTCCGCGCCGCGATCGAGGAGCAGCGCGGCGAGGGCGGCGTGGCCTTCCCAACTCGCGACGAACAGCGGCGTACGGCCGTCCCGGTCCGTCTCGTTGATCTCAGCGCCGCCATCGAGGAGATGCATGACATCCTCGACGCGACCTCCTGCGAGTGCCGAGAACAAGGAGGCCACCATGCCAACACACCATGCGGGCTCTCAGACCCGCGGCACTCGCAAATCAACTTGAGCATATAGAAAATAGTTATATTATGGAAAAATTAAAGTCAGTCGCATATTCCAGCGATTTCATTGGTCGAGGACAGAAGATAACACGTATTCTTTGTCCGACGCCACACGCTGCGGTACCTGGAAGTATTTTTGTGAATGGGTGGCCTCGGGACGCCGCCAGGTGCCCTTCATCGCAATTTTGAAGAAAATGGTGCGTCTCGGACAAAAGATCGCTACTCTGGTTTTCATAGCTTGACTATTTTCTATATGGCAACATGCCCTCAAGGAGCGGCTATTAATCCAGCGAAAGCAAAGGCTGTGACCAGCTCGATGAGCTCGGAAGGAAGCGTGGCGCGGAAGCAGTCGAGCATGTAGGCGCGGATGTGACCGTGAATCAGCCACGCCACGTCGTTGTGGCCGCGCTCGCGCGCGATCTGCAGCGGCGTCGAGCCGCCCGACATCGTCGAATTGAAATTGGCGCTGCGGGCCAGGAGCAGCTCGGCGATAGTGGCGTAGCCGTCCTGGCTCGCCATGAGCAGCGGGGTCGCGCCGTCCTGCCTCGCCTTGTCGACGTCCGCGCCGCGATCGAGGAGCAGCGCGGCGATGGCGGCGTGGCCGTTCTGGCTCGCCATGAACAGCGGCGTCGTGCCGTCCTCCTCGGCCTTGTCGACGTCCGCACCGCGGGCAAGGAGCAGCTCGGCGATGGCGGCGTGACCGTTCTGGCTCGCGATGTACAGCGGCGTCGCGCCGCCCTCCTCGGCCTTGTTGACGTCCGCACCGCCAGCAAGAAGCAGCTCGACGACGGCGGCTTGGCCTTGTTGGCTCGCCATGAGCAGCGGCGTCCAGCCGCTCTGCTTCGCCTTGTCGACGTCCGCGCCGCGATCGAGAAGCAGCTCCGCGACGGCGGCGTGACCGTTCTCGCTCGCGATGAGCAGCGGCGTCACGCCCGTCTTGGTCGCCTTGTCGACGTCCGCGCCGCGATCGAGGAGCAGGGCGGCGATGGCGGCGTGGCCGTCCTGGCTCGCCATGAACAGCGGCGTCCAGCCGTCCTCCTCGGCCTTGTCAACGTCCGCGCCGCGGGCCAGCAGCAGCTCGACGATTGCGGCGTGCCCGTTCTGGCTCGCGAGGAGCAGCGGCGTCGAGCCGTCCTGCTTCGCCTTGTCGACGTCCGCGCCGCGATCGAGGAGCAGCTCCGCGACGGCGGCTTGGCCTTCCCGACTCGCGACGAACAGCGGCGTACGGCCGTCCTGGTCCGTCTCGTTGATCCAGCCCCCATCGAGGAGATACCCGACATCCTCGACGCGACCTCCTGCGCAAGCCATTCGCAGCCTTTCCTCAACCATGCGAGCCAGTCGATGAGCTATGGCACTCGAGAATGCGGTGTGTTCCGGCGGCGCCGGTTGGCTGCTCAGAGGCCCATCGGAGACAACTCGAGAAAAAAAAGAATTGAAAATCTTACTTTGAAGCTCAAGGTGCAGTCTTGCGAGCTGATGCCGAGTTCTCGACGCGCCACGAGTGAGCGCCACATGTCGACGTCGATGGCTCGAACAAATTTACTAGTGCGCTGGCTCATGGTCTTGCAAGTCCTAACTCGAACAGCTGCGCTCACCATCCGGCCGGGCCGGCGGTCCGACGAGCTGGCCATCGCTGCGACGATGGCGCGGAACCTCATGAATCCGCTGTCCATCGATGCGAGGAACTTCGTCGTCGCCACGAACGACGACGGCGACCGCCTCGGTTTCGCACAGCTGCGGCCGCTCGGCGCCGCCGCGCTCGCGGACCCGGCGACGTACGACGCGGCGCCGGGCACGTACGACTTCGACGCCGCGGCCGACGACGAGGCCTGGGACGAGCTGCCGAGCATCCCCACGGGCCTCGCGAGCCTGCCCTGGACCGCGGAGTACCGCGAGTTCGCCGCGCAGGCCGCGCGGCGCCGCGACGCGCGGACCGCGCGGCGCGCGACGGCCGAGGCCGCGGCGCCCAAGCTGTTCGAGCTCGCGTCGGTATTTGTGTTCGAGCAGCACAGGAACGGCGGCGTCGGCGCCGCCCTCGTGCGGCGCCTGCTCGAGAGCCACGAAATGGCGGACCGCCGCGCGGCGGACGTCTACCTGCTCACGCTCGAGGCGACGCGGCCGTGGTACGAGCGCCTCGGCTTCCGCGCCGTCGGGGCCGCGGACGTGCCCGCGCCGCTCGCCTTCGAGGTCGCCGCCGGCGGCCTCGTCACCCGGGCCATCGGAGAGAAGCTCGTCTGCATGCGCGGCGCCGAGGGCTAAGGTGAAGTCTAAGGTGCACTCAACATCTGACTCAACGAAGGGGGGGGGACACCAGACCGCGACGCCGTCCAAGCGCGCGAGCATGGTGGCCTGAACCCCGCCAAATTGACGAGGGTGCTCCTTACCCGACCCCTCGCGCGTGGGAAAAGGGCCGGGGACCTAGGTCTTGGTGGAAGTCCGGGCAGCGATGGCGACCGCGCGCGCGCGCAGTGGCCGCGGTGTGCTCGAATCGATCTGTGATGCGCATCTCGACCTTGGCGGTCGCGTTCTTGCGTCCGATCTGGTCCATGGGTCCGTTCGACCTGCCTGGAGGCCCCAACACTAACGTGAGCAGCCCCTTGGCCAACCAGGTACACTCGATGACGCTGTGCGCCATGCAAGTCATGGAACTTGGAGACAACGCCATCTCTGCAATCGAGGCAGGCGCCTTCGAGTTCGAGTGCCTCGGAAGACTAGACTTGGACTTTAACGCCATCGCTTCTCTGGAACAGACGTTCGAGTTTCCTGGCGCTGAGTGTCTGATTATACTGGATCTAAACGAAAACTCAATGACGACGATCGACAGCGGCGTCTTTAGCAACCTCAACAGGCTTCGGTGGCTCGACTTGGGGATGAACTCTATCTCTTCTCTCAGCGTGGGTTCGTTCGACGGACTCGAAAGCCTGGCTGTCCTCTTTCTGTATGGAAACTATTTAACGAGACTCGAGGCGGACACCTTCGAGAACCTCACGAGTCTCGCGGTTCTGGATCTGTGGCGGAATGACGTTCGATCCATCGACGAGGGTACCTTCGACGGCCTCGACCTCACGGAGCTAAACCTGGAAAGAAACCAGGCGCTTTCGACGCTCCCGCATTCGTTGCTCGAAATGACAAATCTGCGAGCGGTTCACTACAACACGTCCACTGGCATCTGTGCGAACGACACTCCCGCGCTCGATCCCGCGTTCGACGATCTGGTCGAACGCGGCGTCCTCTCCTGCGAAGAAACAGACACCGGGTCGGAATATTATCGCCAGCAGTACCTCGCCAGTGAATTCTTCAGAGAAGAATACTCCTATGATTATTACGAGTAGTTCATGCCCAGCTTCTCCTTGAAGTCAAGGTGCCAAACTTGAAGCTCTTTGCGCATGGTCGCCTGAGCACGGACCGCGGCGGCGACAGCAGCGCGACCGCGGCGGCGAGGGCAACAACCCGCGTCGAGCACGGGCCGCCCATGCGCGACGCGCCCGCGGCCATGGGCGGCTGCTTCTCGGAGCGCGCCCAGGTGACGATCTCGCTGGTCTGCATGTTCAGCGACTACTTCGGCATCGGCATCATCGCGCCGCTGCTGCCGTTTTGGCTGCGCGACCGGGACTACAGCCTGCGCTGGGTCGGCATCATCACCTTCGCGCAGTACGTCGCCGTCATCGTCGGCCTGCCGCTCTTCGGCGCCGCGTCGAAGCGCCTGGGCGTCGAGGCGACGATGCTCTTTCTCATGGTCGCGGACAGCGCGCTCTTCGGCGGCAGCGGCCTCTGCGAGAGCGCGGCGGCGCTGTGCGCCGTGCGCGTCGGCGCGGGCTTCTGCGCGCCCCAGGGCCTGGCGATCAGCTGGATCGCGTCGCTCGGCGAGCCGGAGCGGCTGCCGAGGCGCATGGGCCTCGTCGCCGCGTTCATCCACGTGGGCTTGCTCGCGGGCGCGCTCGTCGGCGGCGCGCTGGGCTGGCGGCGCTGGCGCGAGGCCTGCGCCGTGTCCGCGGCGCCGACGGTGCTCTGCGCGGCGTGGCTCGCCGTCGCCGTCGCGCGGCCGGGGCGGCTCGAGCGGCGGGCCGGCGGCGGCCCGGGCGGCGGCGCCGCGGCCGCCGCCGCGGAGCCCGTGAGCCGGCCCGCGCTCGCGGCCGTCGCGGCGATCATGTTCTGCAACGGCTTCGTCGTCACCGCGGGCCTCGCGGCCTGGGCCGTCGTCTACGTCGACGAGTACGGCTTCACTTCGAAGCAGGTCGCGCTGTCGCTCGTGCCGGCCGCGACGGCGCAGATCTTCCTCCACGCCCTCCTGCTCCCGCGGCTCCTCGCGGCGCGCAACGCGTGGCGCATCTCCGGAGCGCTCGCCGCGTGCGTGGCGGCCGTCTTCGTCGGCTGCGCGGCGGCCGTCGCCTTCGCCGACCCGGGGCCCTGGCCGCTCCTCGCCGCGGCGACCGCGTCCTACTGGCTCTGCTCGCTCAACCAGGGCACGGCGAACTTCCTCTCCGCGTCGCTGACCGCGGGCTCGCCGGACGCCGCCGCGCTCGTCGGCGGCGTCCGGAGCGCGTTCAACACGGGCTGCGCCGCCGGGCCGCTCGCGCTCATCGCCGCCTACTTCGACCGCGGCCTCGGCGCCGCGCTCCTCGTCTGCGCGGGCCTCTTCGTCGTCGCCGCCGCCGCGGCCGCCGCGGGCGCGCGCGCGGCGCCGGACCCGCTGGCCCGGCGGCGGAACAAGGTGCCCCTCGACGAGCCGGCGGACCCGCTCTAATCGAAATTACCCGTAGGACCGGTCGAAGAGCTCGTACTCGAGGAGGTCCCGCGCGCGCGACGCGAGCTTGCCCGAGAGGCGCGACGACTGGGCGCCGACGGACATCTCGAGGATGGACGACTCGCGGCTCGCGGGCTTCTTGCGCCGCTCCGGCGGCGGCTTGCCCGCGGCGTTGACGGCCTTCCGCGCGACGGACGACCGGCGGGGCTTGTCCCCGACGTGGGACGCGCGGCGCTGCGTGACGCCGGCCGTGAGGCTCACGCGGCGGAGCGACGCTTTGGCGTCGCCGCCCGGTGGCCGCGACTTGGACTTGCGGCGCGCCGTCGCGCGCGCCGTCTGGCGGTAGGGGTGCGCGTTCGACGGCTTCGGCGGCCGGTGCGCGCCGTAGCGCTTCTCCGCCGTCGCCCAGGCGCCGCTCTGGCGCTTCCGGCCCCGGGGGTCGTCGACGAGGAGCGACTTGCGGAAGCTCTCGCGGTGCGACGCCTCGATGTCGTGCCGCTCGTCGCGGCCCGCGAGGTCGCGCGCGCGCTGCTCCGCGTCGAGCGCGTGGACGCCGACCCAGATGTTCGCGACGAGCATCAAGAAGTCGACCGCGGGCACCAGGGTCGTCACGCTGTTGTCCAGGTTCGACGCCTGGAGCACGGTCTGCTTCGTGCCGCGGCGCCGCGCGTTGAGGTCGTCGACGAGCCCCGCGAGGGGCCGCGCGAGGGACCTGAGCGCCAGGTCCGACGCCTCGCGGAGCCGCCGCTCCGCGTGCCGCGGCAGGGGCACGCCCTTGGCCTCCGCCGCGTCCCGCAGGTCCTTGTGGACGCGCCGGAGGGACGCGCGCGCCGCGTTGAGCGCGACGTAGCCCGCGTAGACCTGGTGCTTCGCGCCGCGCATGACGCGCTGGAGCTCGTTGTTGACGCCGTGGGGGATGCGCTTGCGCGCCTCGAAGAGCGCGGGCAGGATCTCGCCGTAGGCCCGGGCGACGAACGTCGCGCCCTCGGTCGGGATCGCGCGGACGCGGCCGTTGCGCGTGAAGCAGCCCACGAGGCGGTTGAACAGGTACAACCACGTGTTCCGGCCGTCGAACCTCTGCAGGGCCCGCGCGAGGGACCGCACGCGCACGTGGAACTGGTGCGCGCCGTGCTCGTGGGGGAACTCGCGGCACTCCAAGATCTCGAGCGCGACGTCCGCGACGCTCGGCTTCGCGTGGCGCTTCGCGCGGGGCATGGCGTCGACGGACGCGTCGTGGGCCATCTTGGCCACGTAGACGTCGACGATGTACTCCATGACCGCGGCCTCGGGCATGTCCATGAGCGAGTCGTCGCTCAACTCGCTGTCCTCGTCGCTCGAGTCCTCGTCGAGGTAGCGCCGCCAGCTCAGCGGGAAGTTGAGCGCGTCGAGGTCCAGGTGCTGCTTGTAGACGTGCGCGTAGCCCCGCTTCAGGAACTCGATGTATTCGTACTTGGCCACGGACTCGGTCCACATGTCCGCGAGCTCGAAGATGGAGTTCACGAAGTCCTCGTGCAGGACGAGCCCGCTCTCGCCCGAGTCCGCCGCGAAGTCCTCCTCGAGCTGCTCCCGCGCCTCGACGCGGTTCGACTTCGGTAACGTCACGCCCCGGTCGCCGGCCCACTTGTGGATCCACTTCTTGAGGCGCCCGTGGAAGTACGCGTACTCCTCGAAATCCATCGCGCCGTCCTTGTCCTTGTCGTCGAACTCCTGCGTCGCGATCCACCACTTGTCGAGCCACTCGAGGATCTCCGGGTCGTCGCGGATGAGCTCGCGCTTCGCCAGGTTCGTCTCGCTGTAGAGGTCCGCGTTGCCCTCGCGCGTCGCGTCCTCGGGCACGCCGAGGCTGCCGCGGCGCGGCGCCGCGCCGAGCGACGACCGGCGCCGCCGCGGGCCCGCGCCGAGCGACGACCGCCGGCGGCTCCGGTCGAAGTCAAAGGCCTCGATCTGCCGCGTCGCCTCGGCGCGCATCTCCTCGTGGACGCTCTTCCGCCGGACGCGCTCCTCGTCCGTGAGCGCGTACTTGTGCGGCAGATGGACGCGCTCGAGCGCCGGGTGGCCGACGCAGAGCTCGACGAGGAGCGCCTCGCGCGCGTTCGCGCGGAGCACGTCGACGTCCGTGTCGCCCGTCGGCGCCGCGCCCGAGATCACGCTCGCCTCGTCGTCCGTGAGCGTCCGCCGCGACGCGCGGCTCGACGCGCGCGACGCCACCGACGCGTCGTCGCCGGGCGGGCCCGGCGCGGCGACGCCGCGCACGAGGCCCGCGACGGCCGCGGCCAGCAGGTCCCCGTCCGCCGGCGGCGCCTCGTCGAAGGGCGCCGGCGCCGCGGCCAGGGCCGCCTGCGCCGCGGCCGCGGCCTCGACGGGCGCGGCGGCGCCGCCCCGCGCGTCGCGCGCGTCGCCCTCGCCGAGCGCGTCCGCCGCGGCCTCGAGCCGCGCGGCGAAGGCGTTCAGGTTGCGTTGCGTGACGCCCTGGCTCTGGAGAAGCTTGAAGCGCGCCGCCGCGGCGTCGTCGCCGGAGAAGTCGGGCGCCGCGCCCGGGGGCGCCGCCGCGGGCGCCGCCGCGCCGGGCGCCGCGGGCGCGGGCGCCTCCGCCGGGGCCGCCGCGCCGCCGGCCGCGTCGGCCTCGGCGGGCGCGGGGCCCTGGACGGCGAGGGTGATGGCGATGTGGCGCGGCGACGCGGCGCCGCCGAGGCCGTCGCTCGTGTGCGGCCGCCGCGCCGCGGGCCGGTTCGTCCTCGGGTTCCAGAGGCCGGCCTCGAAGCCGTCCATGCACAGCAGGCGCACGGGCTGCGTCGGCAGGCTGTAGCCGTAGGCGTTCTTGATGCCGTGCGTCCGCGCCGGCGCCGACCGGGGCCGCGCGGCGTCGACCTCGGCGCCGCGGTTCGCGTCGGGCACGGGCGCGCCGGTCGTCTTCACGAAGAGCACGCTGGCGCCGCAGGGCGGCGCGGGCCGGCGCGGCCGCGTGCGCCACCGGCGCACGAGCTCCGCCGACGTCGGCTGCACCGCGCGGTGGGCGCGCGGCGAAGGCTGCCTCATCATCGTCCTTCCATCTCGATCAGTTTCAAGAGACGCGTCAACGAGCAAGGCTTCGTCGACCTTGAAGAGCTCTCCAAGACGCGATGCGCGCCGGATTGCTGAGTCAGCTTGCGCTCACGACACACTGGTTGGCGCTCGCGGCGCACGGCTTCGTCGCCAACGACGCACTTCTCCACCGCGTTTCGCGCCTGGCCGCAAGCGACGACGTGAGCGCGTCGCGCCGCGAGCTCGCAAGCGACGACGTGAGCGCGTCGCGCCGCGAGCTCGCAAGCGACGACGTGAGCGCGTCGCGCCGCGAGCTCGAAGCGCGCTTCGGCACGGGCAAGCCCGCGGATCCGTCGAAGACGATGGCCTTCCTGAAAAGCAAGGGTCTGGTGGGAAGCGATCGCGGCCCCGCGGTCGCGAGCGTCGTCGACGAGGCGGGCGCCGTCGCGGAGCTCGTCGAGCAGGACGCGCTCAAGAGCTTCGCGTCGTCGCTCGAGGCGCGCGTCGCCGACGGCGACGACGTCGTCGACGACATGTCCGCCGCGTACCCGCTCGCGTCGAACGGGAACAGCTGGCGGCCGGGCTGCGACCAGGTCATGGGCGGCCTGAGCGTCGTCACCGCGCACGGCCGGGAGACCGTCGGCGGCCGCGCCGCGCTCGTGCTCCGGGGCCGCGTGACGACGGCGAACAACGGCGGCTTCGTGAGCCTCGGGCTCGACGTCGACGTCGACGCGTCGGCGTATTCGGGCGTCCGCCTCACGGTGCGCGCGGGCGCGGACGACGAGACCTACGGCCTCCACCTGCGGACGCCGGACTGCGCGCGCGTCTTCTCGTCGTACCGGTCGCGCTTCGCCGCGTCGACGGCCTGGTCGACGGTCGACCTGCCCTGGGCGGCGTTCGAAGGCAACGGCCCCGGCGCCGCCGAAACGCCGCTGGACCCGGCGCGACTCCGGCGCCTCTCGCTCCTCGGCATCGGCCGCGACTTCGACGCGGACCTCGCCGTCGCCGACATCCGCTTCTACCGATAAGTGTGTTAGATCCGCCCCCTCGGGCGGACGCGAGGGGGCCGCCGCCGCCGCCGGCTCTATCGCGGCGGCTTGGGCACGCGGAGCTCGCCGTCGCGGTCGACGAACTCGATGACCGACATGGGCGCCTTGTCGCCGGCCCGCGGCTCGTTGAGCTTGAGGATGCGCGTGTAGCCGCCCCGGCGCGCCGCGTAGCGCGGGCCGAGCACCTCGAAGAGCTTGCGGAGCGCCGACTGCTCGCGGACGACGCGCGCCGCGAGGCGCATGCCGTGGAGGTCGCCCTTCTTCGCGTAGGTGATGAGCCGCTCGGCGTAGGGCCGCAGCGTCTTCGCCTTGGGCGTCGTCGTGCGGATGCGCTCCCACTTGATGAGCGACGTCACCATGTTGCGCAGCATGGCGAGGCGGTGCGACGACGTCCGGTTGAGCTTCCGTCTCCGGTGCGTCTTCAGGCCGCGCGTCGGAGCCGCGAGGGATGGGGCCCGCGCGAGGCTCGCGCGCGCGCAGCCCGTCGCGAACCGCGCCAAAGAGGACAACATGTCGCCGCCGGCTATCTGCTCAGCAGGCTCAGGGGCCGATGGTGATCGCTGATTACCTCAGCGCGACCGACCTCACGATCCTCACTCCGCTGGACGCCCCGCCGCAGCACCATCACGAACGCGCCGGTCGTGGCCAGCAGGTGCTCGCGCTGCCCCGCAGCCTCGGTGTCGGGTGCTTCGGTCTCGAGGCGCCCATAGTACTCATGCCGTCGCTGGAGCACGTCGTCTTCGCCGGCGCCGTCCTCCTGGTCGTCGCCGTCGCCGCATTTTTCGTTCTGCGATCCCACAAAGCGGCCGAGGCCCTCGCGCCGCGCGCCGACGCCGGCGCTCCCGATGCGCCCGCGGACCCGCCGCCGCCGCGGCCGCGGCGGCGGTCGACGCTCGACGGGCCCGGGCAGGCCATGGTCGTGAGCGCGTACGGCATGTGCGGCCGCCGCGAGTCGATGCAGGACGCGCACTTCGCCGTCGCCGACAAGAAGGGCGCGGTCGCGGGCGTCTTCGACGGCTGCGGCGGCGCGCGCGCGAGCCGGGCCTGCGCGGACCTGCTCGGCGGCGACGAGGACCGGCGGCGCGCGCTCCGCGACGCGGGCGCGGGCGAGGCGGCGATCGCGGCGTGGCTCGAGGCCTGCGAGGCGCGCGTGCTCGCCGCGTCCGAGGCCGGCGGCTGGATCGACGCGTCGACGGCGCTCGTCGCGCGCGTCAACGGCAACGACGTCGCCGTGGGCTGGCTCGGCGACTCGCGCGCGGTGCTCGCGGTCGACGACGGCAAGGGCGGCCTCGCCGCGCTGGACCTCTCCGTGGACCACAAGGCGTCGAACCCGCGGGAGGCGAAGCGGGTCCGCGCCGCGGGCGGCTTCGTGGGGCGCACGGAGCAGGAGGCGCGCGCGTCCGGCGCGCGCGCGCTCCTCGGGAGGATGGCGCCGGCCCTCGCGTTCCGCGCGAACAAGAGGAGCGCGTTCCGCGTCTACCCCGGCGGCATCGCGCTCACGCGCTGCGTCGGCGCGCGGCCGCTCAAGTTCAAGAACCTCGTGACCGCGACGCCCGAGACCTTCGCGCGGCCCTGCGACGGCGCCGAGGCCTTCCTCATCCTCGCCTGCGACGGCGTCTGGGACGTCCTCGACGGCGCCGCGGCCGTCAAGTGCTGCGCCGCCGTCGCCCCGGAGAAGGCCGCGGAGACGCTCGTCTACCACGCGCACAACAAGGGGTCCACGGACAACCTCACGGCCGTCGTCCTCTCCTGGCCGTGACGGGCCGCCTAAAGCTGCCTAGACCTCCGCGCGCCGCCGGCGCTCGGAGATGACGCAGATGGACCGGCCCTCGTCGTCGAGGAGGAACGTCTGCGTGACCTCCGTGCCGTCGCGCGCGCGGCCCGTCCGCGTCCACATTCGGTCGTCGACGTCGTAGTCGCGGTCCTCGTCCCACGTCGGCAGGCGCCGCTGGCTCTCGAAGAGCGCCTGCGGCGGCGCGGCGGTCGTCGAGACGCGCGAACGCGAGCGACGAGACGCGACCGGCGCGCGCGCGGAAGCGGCGGACGCCGATCGAGCGCGCGCATGCAGTCCCGTCGCCCCACGAGCTCTTGGCCGTCCACCGTTCTCATCCGCACCTCCTCGTCGAGCAGGTCCGCGACCATGGAGTCGTTGGTCCGCAGGCGCGACGCGAAGCGCGCGAGCGTGTCCCTCTTCTCCTTGAGCTTGATCGGCGACGGCGCTTCGGCCTTCGTCTCGGCCTTGGCCTCGTCGAGCAGGCGCGCGAAGGCCATCTTAAGTGGGGCAGCCGATTAGAGCTCTCCCATGCTGCCAAAAGTCGATCTTGAGTCTGCTAGCGGCCAAAGTTGACTAAGTGAATAATGGGCAGCCCTTATTAAATGGAGCGGGCGCTCGACTTTACGCCCCATTTCTGTAAGTTCCTCCGCCTCTTGACGCGCTGCTCCGCCTACGAGCTCGGCCGCCTCTATTTCGACTTCGTCTGCTTCAGTCTGACATGGTCCATACGCGGGCTCTTCATTGCCGGCGCCATCGGGCTCGTCCGCGTCGGGGGCGTCGCCTTCGTGCCCCTCTTCCTGCGCACGCTTCCTCGCGAATACCGTGAAGAGTTCGATTGGCCCCCGCGATGAAGGGACTGCTCGAGGTCGTCACGGCGTTCCTCGCCGGGGCCGCGTGCGGCGCGAGCGTCTTCAAGTTCGGCTGGCACGCCGCGGCGCCGCCCGAAGCGACGGGGCACCTCGCGCCGCCGCAGCGCCTCCCGCCGCCGCCGCGCCGCGCCGCGCCGCGACCGCCCGCGCCGCCGCGAGACGCGCCGCGACCGCCCGCGCCGCCGCCGCGCCCGTCGCTGCTCCGCTTCCGGACCACCGCCGGCGACGTCGACGTGCGCGTCAACGACACGCGATGCCCCAAGAGCGCCGCGCAGCTGCGGGCGCTCGTCGCGTCGGGCTTCCTGGACCAGCGCCTCGCGTTGTGGCGCGTGAACAAATGGATCTGCCAGTTCGGCGCCGACAAGAGCCCCGCCGCGCGGAAGCGCGACGGCGGGGAAGACCCCTTCGCGGCCGTCCGCAGATCGTTCGGGAACGACGCGCACCCGGACTGCGGCGCCGGACCGTGCGAGGGCGGCCTCGCGCCGTGGCGCCGCGGGGACCTGGCGCTCATCGGCTCCACGGCGCTGCTCTTCGTGCGCGGCCCCAACAAGCAGATGGGCACGAACCGCAACGACTGCGCCGTCGCCGGCGTCGTCGACGGCCTCGCGGTCCTCGACCGCCTCGACGAGAGCTACGGCAACATGATCGACCACAAGCGCGGCCTCGCGCAGAAGGAGATCTTCAAGACGGGGCTCGAGGGCGTCCTCCGCGACTTCCCGAAGACGGACATCCTCGAGGGGGTCTCCTGGGTCCCGGAGGGTCGATAACGCGGGGGCGCGAGCTGCGCAAGCCCCCGGCGCGCCGCGGCTTGCGCGAGCATCGTCATCGACACTGGAGGATGAGCATGCTCTGGACGGCAACCGTAGCCGTCCTGGCCGCCGCCGCCGGGGCCGTGGTCGTCGCGCCGCCGCAGACGACGCTCAAGGCGCCGACACAAGTCCCATCGCTGCCGCAGAGCTACGAGTCGCCGGCGCTCGAGCCCATCCTGCTGGACCGGAGCTCGTCGCTCGAGGAGAAGATCGGCGGCATCAAAGCGCACTACGAGACGCGGCCCTGGCTCGTCGCGCGGCGCCTCGCGTCCATCTCCGCCGCGGCGCTGCGGAGCTACGGCGCCTGGGCGCGCGGGTCGCCCGACGACTTCGACGAGTTCGCGGCGCGCGCGAAGCGCGCCAAGGGCCTCCGGCCCGGCGCGTCGCCGCGGGGCGCGGTGCTCCGCGACGAGATCTCGAAGCTCGGCGTCGTCTTCGTCAAGCTCGCGCAGACCATGGCGACGCGGCCCGACATCATCGGCGAGGAGGCCGCGGCGAGCCTCGAGAGCCTCCAGGACGGCAACCGTCCGTTCGACGACGCCGTCGCGCTCGCGAGCATCGAGGCCGAGCTCGCCGGGTCCCCCCTGGAGCTCGTGCACATTTCCGACACGGCCGTCGCCGCGGCGTCGCTCGCCCAGGTCTACCGGGGCGAGACCGCGGGCGGCGCGGCCGTCGCCATCAAAGTGAGGCGGCCCGGCGTCGTCGACCAGGTCGCGCTCGACACCTACGCCGTGCGCGTCATGCTCAAGGCGCTCCAGGAGTTCTGGGGCACGAACTCGACGGACTACCCGGCCATCGTCAACGAGGTCACCGCGGGCCTCTTCCGCGAGTTGGATTTTCGCGAGGAGGCGTCGAACGCCGCGCGGTTCTGGGACGCGCACCGGCCCCTCGCGGGCTACCTGCGCGTGCCCCGGGCGGGCTACGCCCGGGGCGACGCGAGGGGCTGGTCCGTGACGCCGCGGGTCCACGTCGCGGAGTGGATCGACGGCGAGCCGCTCGGCGCGATCTCCGAGGCGAGGCAGCGCGCGATGGTGCAAAAGGGCTTGGACGTCTGCTTCCTCCAGCTCTTCGGCACGGGCTTCGTCCACGCGGACCCCCACTACGGCAACATGATGTACGACCGCGACGACAACCTCGTGCTCCTCGACTTTGGCCTCGTGACGAATCTGACGGTGCCGCAGACCGAGGCGATGGCGACGGCGGTGACGGCGATCCTCAACGAGGACTGGCCGACGCTCCTCGACAGCTTCCGGGACATCGGGTTGGTGCCGCCGGAGCCGGCGATCTGGGTCGACGCGAAGACGGGGGAGCCCATCAGCGGGCTCCTGCCCGGCGCGTGGCGCCGGTGCTCCGAGGACGAGTTCGCCGCGTCGTTCGTCGAGGCCCTCGAGGGCGGCGGCGACCGCGCCCTGGCCGGGTCCTTCACGGAGATCACGGCGCGGCTCACGGAGCTCGCGCTCACGTACCAGTTCATCCTGCCGCCCTGGCTCCTCTTTGTCGTACGGGCGGTGATCACGCTCGACGGTTTCGCCGCGGGCATGGACCCCCCTTTATCGGCGCTCGCGGCGGCGGCGCCCCACGCGGCCTGCCGCGTCCTGGCGCCGCGCACGGCCAAGGGCGAGGCCCAGCTCCGCGCGTCGCTCTTCGAGCCGGGGTCGACGCGCCTCGACGTGGAGCGCCTCGCGGCGCTCGCGACGGCGGCCGCGGAGATGCCCTGCGAGGACGACGCCTGCTCGGTCGACACGGCGCGCCAGCGGGGCGACGACGCGGCGAACGTCGCCGCCCGCGTCGCGGCGCTGCTGCTCGCGGACGCGGACGGCCGCGCGCTCCGGCGCGTCGCGCGAGACGTCGAGGCGGCGCCGCTCGTGGCCCGCGCGCGCGGCGCCGTCGCGCGCGCGGCCTTCGGGCGCGCCGCGGCGCCGGCGCCCCTGCGCGACGCCGCGCGCGCGGCGCGCGGCGCCCCGGCGGCGCTCCTGCGGCGCCTGCCCGGCCTCGGCCCGCGGCGGCCCGCGGCCGTCGCGGCCGCGGCCGCCGCCCCCGTCGCCGACGCGCTCGCGGGCGACGCGCGGTTTTTCGAGCCGGCGGCGCGAACGGACCTCCCGCCGCCGCCGGCCTGGCGGAAGCGCCGCGTGCTCCGCGTCCTCGCCGCGAAGCACGCGCGGGACCTCCTCCTCCGGCCGCGCCACGCCGCGTCCCTCGCGGGCCTCGCCGCGGCCTTCGCGGCGCTCGCGGCGCGCGTCGCCCTCGCCGACGCGGCGGCCGCGGCGCGGAGGGCCTGCTGGCGGTTCTGGCGGCGGCGGCCGCGCGCGGCGCTTGGGTAAAAGGTAAAGATTGACCGCATATATCTTGGTCGCAATGATATATATGTAAAACTGTCTGCCCCGTTTTAGCCTTGCGCCTCTCTCGTGCTCGCGCGCTCGTCGTCGGTGGTCGCGCCGCCCCCACCGCCGCGCCGCGGGTCCAGCGTGAGCGCTTGCGCGCCCGGCGCATTCCGCAGCCCGGCGCCCGCGGGACGCGGGAACTCCAAAGATGCTCAAGCCGCAGACGCGATGCTCGCGCAAGCTGCAGGAGTACCTGCAGGACCTCGCCCGCCGCGAGGACCTGGAGCTGCTGCGGGCGCCGCTGCGCGAGCACGACCTCTTCCCGCCGGACAAGGACGGCGCGACGGCGGCGATCACGGGCGAGGAGCTGAAGAAGCTCGTGCGCCACTGGAAGCTCCACGAGGCGCGCGGCTTCTGGAAGATGCACCCGCAGAAGGAGGACCTCGTCTACGCCCTCCTCGAGTACATGGAGGACAAGGAGGAGTACAACCGCAAGGGCCCGACGCGGCCGCCGTCGAGCAAGCCGACGAAGGAGCCGCCGAAGGTGAAGGCGCGGCGCCAGTCGCAGGTCGACCTCGCGACGTTCCGCGTGTCCGTGCTCAAGCCCTACGGCGGCGACCTCTTCAGCCAGCGGGACCACACGCAGGGCCTCATCTACCTGAGCCGGCAGAATTTGCGGGGCGGCGCGGGCGCCGGCGGCAAGGTGCAGGCGCAGAAGTCGAGCCCGCGGAACCGGCACAACTCGTTCCTCACGGGCGACTTCCTGGGCGTCGGCGGCGGCGCCGGCGGCAAGGAGAGCGGCGGCGGCGAGACGCCCGAGGAGCAGCAGGCCGCGGAGCGCATGCGCGAGCGCTGGCAGGCCATCATCGTCGAGATCTTCCGCTACAGCACGACGCCCGGCGACGAGGAGCACATCATCGGCGAGGGCGCGCTCCACGTCATCGACAAGATCGGCAAGACGGAGCAGGCCGCGGCGTCGCTGACGGACCTGAAGATGGCGACGTACTGCGCGGCGACGCTCGCGAACCTGACGACGGAGCGCGCGGTCCACGGCGTCCTCATGCCGCCGCAGCAGATGGTCGTCGCGGAGGCGCTGAGCCTCATGTCGACGCACCACGCCACGGAGCCCACGGTCATGCTCCTGAGCTGCCTCATCCTGGGCCACCTGAGCGGCCACTACGGCGGCGAGGACGCGCTCATCGCGACGTGCCTCTCCACGCTCGCGTCGGGCATCGCCGTCGACTCGGCGACGTGCCGCAAGGTCGCGCTCGTCGCGCTCGCGAACCTGCTCACGTCCGCGGAGCGGAACCAGCTCGTGGAGCACATCGTGCCGGCCATCAAGTACCTCACGTCGCTCGCGGAGCACGAGGCCGCGCTCCTCGTGCTCGCGGCGACGTACAACCTCTCGTTCTTCGACATGCCGCGCATCGCGCTCATCGAGGGCGGCATCATCGTCCTCGTGTCCTCGCTGCTCTACCAGGGCCTGCTCCGCGGCGGCAAGGTCGGCGCCGGCGACGACGGCACCGGCGCCGCGGGCCGGCCCGACGGCGACGCGGTGCTCCACACGCTCGCGGAGGTGCTGCTCAACCTCACGTGCACCGTCGACGGCCGCGAGCGCATGATCAAGGACGGCGCCGTGAAGACCTTGGTGGACCTCGAGCAGATGACGACGGCGAAGCAGTCCAAGGAGGTCATCGGCCTCGCCGTCGCGAACCTCACGGGCGCGGAGGTGAGCCACATGCTGCCGACGGTGTTGGCGCACGGCGCGGTGCCCACGCTCGTCGCGCTCGTCGACTACGTCGGCGCCGTCGAGGCGCGGGGCCGTTTGTGCGTCGCGCTCTGCAACCTGAGCGCCGAGCCGGCGAACCGCGAGGCCATGATCGCCCAGGGGAGCCACGTGGCGCTGAAGAAGCTCAGCGACGGCGAGGCGACGACGTCGTCCGTCCAGGTGCTCGTGCTCGTCGCCTACATCAACCTGCTGAGCGTGCCCGAGAACCAGTGCGAGATCGTCGAGGCCGGCGTCCTCGAGCTCCTCAAGCGCCTCACGGCGGACCCCGCGGTGTCGCCCGAGGTCCGGCGCTACGTGGGCATGGCGCTCGCGAACATCGCGGACGACCTGAGCCGCCACAACTCGTCGACGCACACGGACGTGCTCGCCATGATGACCCTCCTCGCGACGAACTCGGGCATCGAGCTCCAGCGCATCATCGCGTCCGCCTTTGCGATGTTCGCGCACATCATGACGGTCCGCGACGAGGCCGGCGCGTCGCCCGCGGACCGCGCCAAGGAGGACATGCTCCTCACGGACGACGTCGTCAACACGATCATCACGCTCTGCGCCATGAAGGACACGGTCGTCCTCAAGTTCGCGGGCATCGCGCTCAACAACCTCTCGCAGGAGTGCGCGTACCACGACGTGCTCCTCCGAAACTCCATCACGAACGCGCTCCAGCACCTCGCGGAGTCGCGCGAGGACGAGGTGCGCCGCATGTGCGCGTCGACGGTGCGCGCCCTCACGGCCTCCGACGAGCTCCGCGCCGCGGAGACGTCGACGGTCAAGGGCTTCATCCGGGTTTTGGGCGCGCTCGACACGTCGCGCGCGGCGGACATCATCAACTTCACGGCCGCGGCGCTCTTCTCCATCTCCTGCATCCGCCAGCACAGCGGCCTGCTGACGTCGGACTCGTCGATTCTGTGGCGCCTCTTCGGGATGATGCGCGGCGGCCAGGAGTCGACGCAGCTTTACGCGGCGCGCGCGCTCTGCAACCTCACGTGCGAGGAGAAGTGCGTCCAGACGCTCCTGCGCGAGAAGGCCATCGCCGACTTCATCGCCATCGCCATCCTGCGCACGAACAACGAGGAGGTCAAGGGCGTCTGCGCGGAGTGCCTCTTCAACCTCATCCGCTACGAGCGGACGCGGCCCAAGCTCCTCAAGGAGCCGAACAACGTGCTCTGGGCCATCTCGCGCCTCTTCCGCGTCGAGTCCGAGCGCACGCAGCGCATCGGCGCCCTCGTCGTCTACAACTTGAGCTGCTCCCAGGACACGGCGAGCACTTTGATGGAGACGATCAACGCCGCGGAGACGCTCGCGTCCGTCGCGCTCCACCACGGCCACGAGCCCAAGTTCTGGGCCGCGGCGGCGCTCTGCAACCTGAGCTGGACGACGGAGTTCAGCGCCAAGCTCGTCAACGACGCGTCCGCGCACCGGCCGCAGCGCGACAACGAGAAGGGCGGCCGCGGCATCGTCAAGGTGCTCCGGAGCCTGCTCGAGGCGGACCTCGCGCCCAAGGTCGCCCTCGAGGTCAAGGTCAAGTGCACGCTCGCGCTCTACAACATGGCCATGTGCAGCCCCGAGGTCTCGGAGCGCCTCGTCGACGACGGCGTCACGGTCTTATTGGAGGCGCTCCTCGCGAGCGACAACCCGCTGGTCCTCGAGCTCGCCCTCGTCGTCTGCTACAACATCTCGCTCGTGCCGGGCTGCGACGTCGCCATGGTCGGCTACCAGATCGGGAGCAGCCTCATGAAGCTGTTGGAGGGCCTCACGCCCGACGACGCGGGCGCGCGGTTCCCGCGGATGCACCTGTCGACGTTCCTGCTGGTCTTGGGCACGTTCTTCAACCTGAGCGTCAAGCCGGACAACCGCCACGCCCTCGAGACGAGCGGCCTGAGCCGCGCGTGCATGCGCATCGCCGTGCTCCGCGACGGGAGCCCCGCGATCCTCCGCGTCGTGTCGTCGATCCTCCACAACATGTCCTGGGAGCCGGACAACCACCGGTTGCTCCTGGCCCAGTGCGACCTGCTCATCCCCTGCGTGACGACGCTCGTGGAGACGGGCCACGCGACGGACGGCGAGCTCGAGCAGCGGCTCCTCGACGTGGGCAACGTGCTCTGCAACCTGTCCTGCTCCCACTCCTTGAACCACGAGCTCGTGTCGGCGCGGGGCATCTCCTGCCTCGCGTCCGTGGCGCGCGTCACGGCGAAGCTCGACCCGGCGACGACGAACCCGGAGGTCATCATGAGCCTCCACGCGCGGACCGCGAGGAACCTGAGCCACGTCCACGCGCCGCACCAGATGCACAAGCTCCACCCGGCCTGGCTCACGGACGAGATCGAGCCCATGATGAAGCTCCTGAGCGGCGACCACGGCGCGCCGAAGCCGAGCGCCGCGCGCCTCGACGACGCGGCCGCGTGCCTCTACAACCTGCTCACCGTCGGCGGCACGGACCTCCACGCCGCGGACAATCTGAGCGCGCTGCTCACGGCCCTCTTCAAGCGCGTCGACAAGCCCCAGACGCGGAGCCTCTGCGCCGCGGCGCTCATCGCGCGCCAGGGCGACCAGGAGGGCGCGCACTACTCCGACGGGTCCGTCGTCGCGCTCTTCAGCGCCATGCAGTCCGAGGTCTCCGGCTACGACGCCGCCGCCGCCGCGTCGCCGACGAAGATGAAGACGGACAAGCGCCAGATCTCGCCGGGCGTCGACGACGACGACGCGCACGGCCACCACGACACGCTCTCCTACTTCTTCTCCAAGGTCGACGCGGGCACGTGCTCGCCGTCGACGATCCGGAGCCGCCAGGTCGACCGCGACAAGATCGTCGTCGAGCCCATGTGGATGCACTTCGAGCAGGACTCCCACGTCGTCTCCGAGGGCCTCGAGGCGCCGCCGACGCAGTCGCTCAAGCTCCCGAAGCAGCCCGCGGACCCGCCGAGGACCATGTATACGAAGTCGTCAGGGCGCTTCCGGAAGATCATCCTTTTCCCCAACAAGGTCAAGGCCGAGAACGACGCGCACCACTCCATCAAGGACGACGACGCGACCTGGGGCGACCACGGCAGCCAGTTCGAGATCGTCACGACCTTCGACTTCGGCCAGGTCTACCCGCCCCTCGCCGCCTAGCGAGCGCGGCGCCCCCTCTCTCCCCGGCTAAAAAAATATGCGTGAGCGTGATGAGAATCGATGCGCGCGCCTCGCGAAGGCGACGACTCCCACCAAGTGCCGAAAGCCAAGTAAGGACCCCCACCAAGTGCCGAAAGCCAAGTAAGGACCCCCACCTAGAGCTTGCAACGCACTGACGCGAGCTCGGATCCGGACGCGTCGAGGTGCAAGGTGAAGATCCAGGCCGTCATTGCCGTCGGCGAAGCAAAGCATGGAGTCTCGCCTCCGTGCTCTCCCGCCGGAGGAGCTCCTCGCCGTCGCGCTGCGCGTCGCCGCATCGAATCCAAAAATCATGGAGGAAGCACTCGCACCCGACGCCGTCGCGTCGCCGCCGCGCAAGAAATCGAAGAAGGAGAAGAAGAAGGCGGGCATGGACATGAGCCGCTACGAGCAGCGCTGCATCGCGCTCTGGATCTCCTACGAGGGCGGCGCCTACAGCGGCTTCGCGGAGCAGAACATCCCCGGCGCGGGCGTCGACACCGTCGAGCGCCAGCTCTTCGCGGCGCTGAAGAAGACGTGCCTCGTCGAGTCGCGCGAGTCGTGCGGCTACTCGCGGTGCGGCCGCACGGACAAGGGCGTGTCGGCGCTCGGGCAGGTCGTCGGCCTGCGCGTGCGGTCCGCGGCCAGGGCCGGCGAGCCCGTCGGCGGCCTCGACTTCCACGCGGGCGACGCGCTCGCCGGCGGCAGGCGCGAGCTCGACTACGTGAACATGCTGAACCGCGTCCTGCCCGACGACGTGCGGGCCCTCGCCTGGCGGCCCGTCGTGCCCGAGTTCAGCGCGCGCTTCTCCTGCGCGTCGCGGACCTACCGGTACTTTTTCCCCGCGACGTCGCCGAACACGGGCGCCGCGTACGACGTGCCCGCGATGGCCGCGGCGGCGGCGCGCCTCGTCGGCGACCACGACTTCCGCAACTTCTGCAAGATGGACGTGCTCCACGTGAAGAACTTCCGGCGGGTCGTCTACGCCGCGGACGTCCGCAAGACGGGCGACGGCTTCTTCTTCGAGATCCACGGGCAGGCGTTCCTGTGGCACATGGTCCGGTCGCTCGTCGCGGTCCTCTTCCTCGTCGGCGAGGGGCTCGAGCCGCCGGCGGTCGTCGACGCGCTCCTGGACGTCGCGCGGACCCCGCGCAAGCCCCAGTACCTCATCGCCGACGAGCGGCCCCTCGTGCTCCACGACTGCGCGTTCGACACGCTGTCGCCGGACGCCGCGCCGCTGCCGGAGCCCCTGGACTACCTCGCGACCCACTTCGAGGGCGCCTACCGCGCCGCCGTCGTCGAGGCCGCGAAGCGCAGGAACGACCTCGAGCGCCTCGACGCCTTCGCCGTGCGGCGGAGCGACCTCGACGCGCTCCTCGCGGAAAACGGCGCGGCGCCGGCGCCGCCGGGCGCCGCGCTCGTGCCCTGGCCCGCGGCGCGCGCGCTGCTCCGCGGCGCGGCGGACGCGAAGCTCCGGGCCGCCTACACGCCGCTCCTCGACCGGGAGACGGGCAAGTCCTACGAGGAGAAGGTCGACGCCATGAACCCGCGCGTCGCCGCGCAGTTCGCCGCCATCGAGGAGAAGCGCGCGACCGACGGCGACCAGCGCGACTTCCACACGGAGAAGCGCGCCGCCGGCTAAAGGTAAACACAACGGCGATTATGCGCAGGGGGGGTCGGGGGGGGGGAGCTATGTGCCGCGAAGGGTCAGATGAAGTTCGCGCCGCGCGCGAGCGTCTCGTAGGGCGAGAACCAGACGAGGTCGGCGAGGGGCAGGGACGACGCCGCCGGGTCCCGGGCCTGCATCCGGTCCGAGGCCGCCGCGCCGGCCCCCGGGCTCGCGGACGCGAACGTGAGCTCCAAACCCAAAGCGCCGCCGCTCGGCGGCGCGCCGCCGCGGACGGGCGCGGGCGCGGCCGCGGCGGCCTCGGGCCGCTGCGCCGGCGGGTTGACGATGACGGTCCGCGCCGGCCGGTCCGACCGCGCCGCGCAGTGGGCCGCCGCGCCGCAGCCGTAGGACGCGTGCTCCGCGCCGACGAGCGCGATCAGCGTCGCGTCATTGCGCGGCGACTGGTCGACCCAGTTCGCCGCGCGCGCGGCCATGGACGCGTCCCAGAGCAGGCGGCTCGTGTAGAACTTGGCGAAGTCGTCGTTGCCGTCCATCGTCGACGCGGCCTCGAAGAACGGCGCGGCGCGCTTGAACCGCGCGAAGCGCTCGAAGTCGGGCTCCAGCACCTTCTGGCGGTACTGCTGGTAGGCCATGGTCGACGCGAACTTCATGAGCGGCTCCGGCCCCTCCGGGAGGCTCAGGCGCGCCCAGGCGTTCGCGTCGAGGCCGTTCAGGCCCTGCGACGCCGCCGTCACCAAATCCTTCGCGGGCGCGCCCAGCGCGACGATGGGCAGGCTCAGGCTCCGGCAGAGCTCGAAGACCTGGGCGTAGCGCTCGATGGGGTAGGGCCAGTGGGCGTCCCAGTCCAGCGCCTTTGCGAGGAACGCCGTCGCCTCGCGGTCCGCGCCGATCTCGCCGAGCACGAACTTGTCGAGCACGGTCTGGTAGTCGGCGCGCACCGCCTCCAGGCCGACGGCGACGGGCGCCGTCTTGCCGCCCTGCTGCGCCGCCTTGGCGACGGCGAGCGCCGCGCAGATGCCCGCGGCCATCGAGTCGTCGTCCGTCACGTCGCGCGATTCGCCGAGCCAGATCGTGCCCGCGCCGCAGAGGCTCTTGATCGCGCTCTGCGGCGCCGTCGGCGTCATCGTTCCGCTCGCGATGGTGTAGGCCCGCGACTTCTCCAGGGAGCCCAGCTCCACGGCGAGGTCGAGCACGCGCGGGTCGAGTTCGCCGGCGCGCGCCGCGTCGACGCCGACGGTCGCCGCGGCCGCGGCGGCGCCGCCCTGGACGATGAACGGCCGCCGGGCCACCTGGCGCAGGGCCGTGGCCGTGGCGAGGCTTAGAATGATCCGTCGCATTGCTTGCAAGGGCATTGTGTGGCAAGCTGTCAAAATGTTCGTCGCGTGCCAGTGGCGCCACGGCGCCCACGCTTTGAGTGTCAAGATTTAAAATGCAACCGCCTCTTGTTGAACGCGTCACCAAAAAAAAAAACCTCAGTTTTACGCCTCATCGTCGTCGTCGTCATCATCCTCGTCGCCCCCGCCCGCCGGCACGACGGCCTGCGCCTCGCCGTCGCGGTCGTCGTACAAGGCCGCGTCGACCTCCTGGAGGTAAATCTCGAGCTTGAAGTGCCGCGACGAGACGCGGTCCTTCCTGTCCTTGACCGCGCCGTCGAGGACGGGCTTGTCGAAGAGGAGGTAGTTCGAGTCGACGAAGGCCGTGTTGAACCAGACGGAGCAGATCTTCTCGTTCTTGCCGCCCCAGTCGTAGTCATAAATACCGACGTTGACGTTGCCGCGGACGACGACGGCCGCGTCCGGGTGGAGCGTCGCGAAGCGCTCGTTCGGGTGCAGCTTCCGGATCTTCGCGCCGGACTTGATCTGGTCGTGGACCTTGACGGTCTGCCAGGCGCCGCCGCGTTCGCGCATGCACTTGACGACGAAGAACGGGTCGCAGCCGCCGCCGCGGAGCGCGCCGTCCGTCGTCGGGATCGTCTGCAGCCGCAGCATCGTCAGCGCGTAGGTTTTCGGCGCGTAGGCGCCTACCAAGTGCGTCGATGAGTATGTTCCCTCCCGGTCAAATCGCTCGCGCGGCCGCGGGACGCCGGTAGGCGCCCGTCCGCAGGTAGCGCTCCCAGTAGTGGACCCAGCGGATCTGCGACGGGATCGTCACGCCCTTGCCGTCCTCCGTGCGGCTCGCGGCGAAGTGCGCCAGCGCCGTCGTCGCGCCGACGACGCCGTCCGGCGCGTCGACGCCCGCGCTCGGCCGGAGCGCGAGGCGCGCGAGGTACGCCGCGCAGACCAGCCCCGTGCGGCCCTTGCCGGCCTTGCAGTGGATCGCCGCGACGCGCTTCGGGTGCCCGCCGAGCCAGCGGTCGAGGTCGTCGCAGAACGGCGCGAGCTGCTCGAACGCGCACGGGTTGTGGTCGTCGAACGGCACGCGGAGCGCGTGCGGGAAGGCGCCCGTCGCGTAGGCGCGCTCGCTGCACAGGTTGTAGACCTTGACGTTGTCGAGGCCGTGCTGGAGCTTCATGAATTTCAGGACCATGGGCATGGGGTTGCGGTAGAGCCCCGCGGCGCCCTCGGAGGGGAAGCCCATGGCGATGATGCGGTCCGTGATGTAGGAGAGGTCCAGGTCGATGTTCTCCTCCGCGTTCACCCACCGCTTCTTCTTCTGCGACACGAACTGGCGCGCCCACGCCGCCATGGTGCTTTTACGGCGCGGCCATGGCTCTCCCGCTGGGGCAGCCTTCACCTGCGTATCAACGCCGTGCTTGAAGCATCGTTGACGTTCTCGGAGTCGACGATGGAGCGAAGCTTCGCGTTGCTGCTGCAGCTCACCAGCATTTTGCAACAGCAGCACCTCGCCGCCGCGCTGCAAGCGCCGCGCGTGCTCGACGTCGACGGACTCGCAAAAGCCGGCATCGCGCGCCTGCGGGAGCGCGGCGCCGTCGTCACCGAGGGCCTGGGCGCTGCGAGCCTCGCCGAGGCGATCGTCGCCCACGAGGCGGTCATCGTGCGCTCCGCGTCGACGTTGACGAAAGACCTCCTCAGCTCCGGCGCGGCGGCGTCGCTGCGGTGCGTCGGCCGCGCGGGCGTCGGCGTCGACAACATCGACACGGCCGCGGCCGCCGCGCTGGGACTGCCCGTCGTGACGTCCGCGGGCGCGTCGACGCGCGCCGTCGTCGAGCTGACCATCGGCCACTTGTTGCAGGCCGCGCGGCGCCTCGGCGACGCCGACGCGGCCGTCAAACGCGGCGACTTCGCGGCGTTCAAGGCCGGCGCCGCCGAGACCGCGAGCGAGCTCGGCGGCAAGCGGCTCGGGCTCCTGGGCTTCGGGCGTCGCGCGTCGGCGTCGATGCGTCTCGTCGCCCCGCCGTGATGATCGAACCGCACAGGTATCGCCAAGGAGACGGCGCGCGTCGCGGGGGCGTTGGGCATGGACGTCTCCGTCTACAGCCCCGGCGCGGACGCGGCCGCGGCCGCGGCGGTCGGCGCGGACCTCGCGGCGTCGCCCGCGGCGCTCTTCGCGAGCTGCACGCACGTCGCGCTCCAGTGCGCCCTCACCGACGAGACGCGGGGGCTCGTGGACCTCGACCTCATCCGATCCATGCCCGCGCCGGGGCCGCGCGTGCTCGTGAACGTCGCGCGCGGCGGCGTCGCCGTCGAGGCCGACGTCGCGGCGGCGCTCGCGAACGGCGACCTCGACGCCTACGCGACGGACGTCTTCGACGACGAGCCGGGCTGCCGGGGCAGCTCGCCGCTCTTCCGCGGCGGCGCGCCCGGCGTCTTCGCGACGCCGCACGTCGGCGCGGCGACGCGCGAGGCCCAGGACGGCGTCGCGCGCCTCGTCGCGGACCGCGTCATGGACGCGCTCGACGCGATCTAATCCGTACTTATCTCGAACAGGAGGAAGAAGATGAAGACGTAGGCCGACAGGCCCGCGGTGACGACGCTCATGACGGTCGACACGTCCGCGGTGACGCCGAAGATGCGCGCGTCGTTGACGTGGTTGATGATCTCGAGCTGGTCGCTCGCGATGGCCAGGACCTCCTCCTTCGCGCTCAGGTGCTCGACCTCCTCGTGGCCCGCGAGGGACTTGGCGCGGATCCTGAGGCGGCCTGCGGGGTCCGCCCTCGACGACGAAAAAGAAGATCGCGCCGGGGAAACGCGCCGTGCGCCAGGTCCGCGAGCGCGTTCTCGCAGGACTTGTTCGCGCCCGCGGCGGCGCCGCACGCGGCGACGACGGTCGCGAATACCATGAGCGTCAGGAGGAGCAACGTCCACGTCGACGCCCGGCTCCGGAGCTCGCGCGCGTGGCCCGTCAGGAGCAGCAGGAAGAACTGCGCGAGCGCCGCCGCGGAGACGACGGTGGTGAGCAACAGGTAGATCTCGGACCGGCGCTCGTAGCGCAGGCAGAACGTGCCCAGCACCGCCCGCGCCTGGACCCAGGTGATCGCGTCCGCCGGCGACGCGTAGAGGCAGACCTACCGAACGCGTCGGTGACGATTTCCCTTTGTTTTCCCGGTGATTTCCCTTTGTTTTCCCGGTCAAAGTCTCTCGAAACTCGTCACGACCGCGCCGGAAAACGCGCGTGGGGGTAGTCGAGGTGCTGGCCGCGGTTCAGCCGCGTCAAGCGCACGAGCCAGCTCAATACGAGGTGCCTCCGGTAGTTGTGGAGCGCCGTCGTCGCGAGGAATCCGACGACGAACGGCGCGTTTGCGAGGACGATGACCGTCGCGAGCGCGCAGCACGCCTGGACGAGCGGGTCCCGCCCGAAGGGCGGGTGGCCGTCGAAGACGCGCATGAGCGGCCCGAGGCCCGCGACGACGAGCGCGAAGAGGAACGCGAGGACGATGACGAACCGTAGCGGCGACGCGCGGTTCGCCAAGCGATAAAAGGCCTTGGCGACCTTGGGGAAGTCCCGTGCGAGGCTCCCGCCCTCGCGATAGTTGAGGTGCTGCGCGTGCTTGAGCGTCGACAGCTGGCGCAGCGGCCAGCTCGCGTCGAGCGAGACCTGGGCCTTGGGGCTCCGCGCGCCCGCGAGCTCCCGGAAGGCCTCGCGCCACTCCGGGTCGCCCGCGTCCTCGAGGCCGATGCGCATGAGGTCGTCCCAGACGCGCGCGTTCTCGTCGTCGCCGTCGTCGACGGACGAGAACCGCATCTCGCCGAGGACGAGTCCGAGCCGGGACGCCGCGAGGCGCAGCTCCGTGTCGATGACGTCGTCCCGGAGCGAGATGAAGCCCGTGAGCAGCTGGAGCTGGAGCGCGTAGTGGCTCGCGGTCGCGTAGTCCACCGTCATGTACTTGCGGTGCTCCTTCTTTGTCCTACGGCGCGCGCGGTCGCGCGCGGACGACTCTCGAACGACGGACGCCGGCGTGTACATCGTCGCGTACTTCACGCCGATGGCGATGATGCGCGCCGTGAGCATGACCTATATACCACTCGCTCTGGTGGATGGGAAGACGCAACGCGAGTTGCTGCGGGGTCCGGCACGCGATCGCGCGCTTTCCGCGCTGCGTTCGACCATGGGCACGAAGAAGATCTCGTCGAAGCCCACGCGCGAATCCTCGAAGCGGTCGCGGAAGAGGAAGAAGAGCGCGAAGATGACCCAGCACAGGAACGGCGACACCGTGACGAAGAAGAAGAGCCGCTCGTCGCGTAGCATCGTCGTCGGCCGCAGGTGCTGGTTGCGCATGCCGTGCGGGAATTCGCGGTGCGGGTACCAGAGGAGCCCGACGGGGAAGGTCAGGTGCTGCACGACCTGCCGCAGGAACACGGGCACCGAGAAGCCGGGAATAAAGAGCGAGTCGTAGGCGGCGCTCTGGATGGTCGTGTATGGAACATTGAGGGCTGTTTCCTCCAGGGACTGGCGCCGCACCGAGCTGGCCCTACGGGCCTCCACGACGCCGTCATCGGCATCGGAGAGCTCCATGGACAACTAGATTCCAGCCATGCTACCCCACTGGAGCTCGATCTACAGCTAGATGCCAAGCCATGCTGCCCCACTGCACCTTCACGACCACGTTCAATGTATCAGGCTGCCCCTTGAAGCACCACAGCGCTCTCCTCGGCTCTGGGAGACGCGCCTGGAACAGCCCACGCTCCCCGCGGCGCTGCGCGCGAGGGGGGACCATGCATCGCATGCAACGCTACGGCGCGGGCGGCGGCGCCGGCGGCGTCTTCAAGATGGAGCGCATCAATCTCTACATCACGGGGAATTGCATCTCCGTGGACCTGCGCGGCGCGCAGATCCCGACGCCGAAGCCGCGGCCGCACGTACCCGTCCTCTACCGGAAGAAGGGGTTCTCGCCGAGCGAACTCTACACGGTCGTCGAGAGCGCGGACTCGTGGATGTACTCGCGGAGCATCGGCGTCCTGTCGCGCGTCGTGTCCTTCACGCTCGGCGACGACTGGGAGGAAGACATCTCGCCGCGGGGCGTCAGGCTGAAGCGGTCCCAGGTCCACGGCGAGATCGAGCAGTTCGTCGAGTACATCCGGAGCGAATTTCCCGACTGGGTCGAGGCGCCGATCACCATCGAGGCGCCGCCCTACACGTATCTGGACCAATACGACTGAAGCCCCGGCGCCGCCCCTCTAAGATAGCAATTAGAACGACGTGTCGTCCCATATAAATGTACTACTCGACGTCGCTCCCGACGCTCGAAAAATCGCGCGAGAGCGGCGGCGCGGGCGGCGGCGGCGTCGCCGGCGGCGGCGCGGGCGGCGGCTCCGCGACGCCGAGGTGGCGCCTCAGCTTATCAGCGAGGTCGCCGAGCGTGATCTCGGGGTCCGCGAACAGGTCCGCCGGCGGCAGGCCCTTGCCCAGCTCCGCCGCGGCCGCGCGCATCTCCGCGAGGTCCAGCGAGTCGAGCCCGAGCGCCGACAGCGTCTCGGCCGGCATCCAGCTCGACACGCGGCCCTCGAGGAAGTCCCGGGCGGGGTCGCCGGCGGGCTCCGCGACGCCGAGGTGGGCCCGCAGTCGATCGGCGAGGTCCCCGAGCGTGATCTCGGGATCCGCGAACAGGTCGGCCGGCGGGAGGCCGGCGCCGAGTTCGGCCGCCGCCGCGCGCATCTCCGCGAGGTCCAGCGAATCCAACCCGAGCGCCGACAGCGTCTCGCCGGGCATCCAGCTCGACACGCGGCCCTCGAGAAAGTCGCGCGCGCGGTCGCCCGCGGGCGCCGCGGAGACTCCGAGGTGGTCCCTTAGCCTGTCGGCGAGGTCGCCGAGCGTGATCTCGGGGTCCGAGAAGAGATCCGCGGGCGGCAGGCCCTTGCCGAGCTCGGCCGCCGCGGCGCGCATCTCCGCGAGGTCCAGGGAATCGAGCCCGAGCGCCGACAGCGTCTCGCCGGGCAGCCAGCTCGACACGCGGCCTTCGAGGAAGGCCTTCGCCGCGTCGTCGCCGACGACAACCACGACCTGCGTCGCCGGCTCCGGGGGCACGAGGTGCGCCGCGGCCTTGAGCTTGCGCCAGGGCGACTTGGCCCAGTCCGCGACGAGGAAGATCGCGCGGCGCGCGCCGCCGCGCGGGTGCGCGGCGAGCGCGTCCGCGAGCGCTTCGAGCGCCGCGTCCGGCGGCAGGGGCCGGTCGCCGACCTTCATGGCGACGTCCCAGGCCTTGGTGCCCTCGGCGGCCATGCCCGAGCCGCCCCAGGGGCCCCAGTGGACCGCGAGCACCGGCGGCAGCGCTTCGCCCGCGTCGTCGT